TCAATGATATTGAATGAGAAAATGAATGAATGAAGCGAGACGCAACACTACCAATATGCTGTCCGCTGCTCTTGAAACAAAAACGAAGAGAAATGAAAAAGAACGTATTAGCAATAAAATACCGGCAAAAACATTGTTCCATGAACTTTTGGCTTTGCCAAATAATTGTGATGAGCTCTGCATTAATAGTAACGAACATTACATTGTGTTTTTAATGCTTTTAAACCCACGTGTCACCCATTTGTGATAGATGTTTTTATATTCACTGTAAGATAACATGTGGCCATCATGCGCTGTCGTAATGCTAATGATGATTAACTATGTATTTGTGCTATAGAAAAGCATTTTTATGTTGAGCTGCAGATCGAAAACTTCAGTACAGCTGGCTGGATACACTAATATGGTATTAGATGTCATCTGGTACATTTGCTCCAATGTCTGCTGGAATACCTGAACTCAGAGCATGTGATGTTAATGTCCCGCGTCATGAAATGAGTATCATCCTCAAGCATTTACTTACAGACAATCAATGATACTCTCTTAGTGTCAGATGTGCAGTTATTTGATTGTAATCATCTGTTGTGCAATCTAAGGTATTATTATTTCTAATTTTTGGACCCGTGTACCCTCTCACACCGCTACACTGTGTTTGTCTTGTCCTTCTACTCTTTATTTCCGTTGTTACAGATTTTACATCCTGGACAAGTGAGGAGCATGTGCAGTATATACTCTGTGCCTGTTTTATTTAATTTTAACAGCTTCAGTTCAGCTCCATGTCGTACCTTTTCATGATGAATGGTAAGCTATCACATTTTCTTTTTTTAAAGTCTTGCTCAGGCTGAGTACAATGTGTCCTCTGCCTCGGGTTCAAGCTCTTCTCCTGCCTCGGCCTCTGGTAACCGTATTGGCGCCATCCTGCAGTAATTTTGTATTTTTGTGGCAACAGGAGTTTCACCATGTTGAGCTGCAGGTGATCCACCTTCCCAATGCTGGGATTGCGACTCAGCTCCGTTTCTTTATTCAGTCATCTGTGATAGTACAGGTTTATTAATGTTCTGGCATGTTGTAAGTCTACCGGTTTCTATTCTGTTATACCAGCAGTGGGTACTGGATCTATATTCTGTTTAATTACGAGAACCTCAAACAAAATGGTTATTTCTAATAAAAAATATAAAATTATAAGATAATTATACTTACTAGTATGTCTTTCATGTTATGTTTTAAGTAAATATAAATTATATAAAATATTCAATTTTTAGATATTTATAGGTATCCGCTCGTGAGTCATTTCAACCAATGTTGCTGATTTATTAGTAATGAGATGCTCTTCTTGATCGAAACGGAGAACAGAGGCAGCGGTATTGGGGAAGTGTGATAGGCTAGTTTGAGAATCGAATTTTATAAGCGAAAGTAGACTATTGATGAAATGACATATTTGTTCTTCATGATATATGTTATTTTATATATAAATAAGAAAGACAGCGAAGTAAATGAAGCATTTATGGATTAAAAGCTTGCCTAAAATACGCGATGTGCGGAAGCCTTCTTTACCCCCATAGTATCACCATCAAGTTTGAATAATGACTAACATCGTAACCCTTCTTAAAACATGGTTATGCACCCGAACCTTTTCTTTTAGCTCATCAGCTCATGTGTATTTAATGTGTTGCGAAGACATGATTCTTCCTGTGGTCGAAGCAAAACAGACACCTGCTTATGGAAGTAGGCATTTTACTTTAAAAGTTGACACTATTAACCTCAGCAACTTTAGGCTCTTACCATACAAGTGACAAAGCGAAATATACCAAATTTGGTCAAACTGAGATAATTTTCATGCTTTCATTGCGGTGAATTGACTATGATGCTGCAATAATTTGGCTCAATCCTATATATATATATATCAGTGGTCCACAACCTTTTTGACACCAGAGACCAGTTTTGTGGAAGACAAGTTTTCCACTGACCAGGGATGGGGGGTGAGGGGAGGGGTGGGGATGGTTTTGGGATGATTAAAGCACATTACATTCATTGTGCACTTTATTTCTATTATTATTACATTGTAATATATAATGAAATATACAAATGTATGTTGGCATACATTATGTTATATACAAATATACAACATAGTGTAGAATCAGTGGGAGCCCTGAGCTTGTTTTCCTGCAACTAGAGGGTTCCCATCTAGGGGTGATAAGAAACAATGACAGATCATCAGGCGTTAGATTCTCATAAGGAGCACACAACCTAGATCCCTCCCATGTGCAGTTCACAATAGGGTTCACACCCCTATGAGAAACTAATGCCACCACTGATCTGACAAGGGGGTGGAGCTTGGGTGGTGGGGAGTGGATGTATATACAGATGAAGTTTCACTTGCTCTGCAGCCCTGTTCCTAACAGGCCATGAACCAGTGCCAATTCATGGCCTGGGGTTGCAATATATATTATATAGCTCTGGATCATATATATCAATAGTATAGATGGCCAGGCACAGTGGCTCACACCTGTAATCCCAGCAGTTTGGAAGGCTGAGGTGGGCAGATTGCTTGAGCTCAGAAGTTTAAGACCAGCTTGGGCAATGTGGCAAAACCCCATGGTGGGGGCAAGCTCTAGTGCAGGGGCTCAAGAGTCCCTTTACAGAGTTTTCTGGGGTTTTATTACCCTCTAGAGGTTTCCCATTGGTTACTTGGTGCCATTCCCAAGTAACCATTGGTACATTTCCCATTGGTTACTATGTAAATGAAGTAGTGGCCTTGCAACCAATCAGAGGCTGAAGTGTAGTTACAAAGGTTACACCCTATTCAAGCATCTGATTGGTTGTGGAAAGCAACCAATCAGAGGCTAAAGTGAAGTTACAGCGTTATACTCCTATGCAAATGTCTGATTGGTTGCAAAAAGCAACTAATCAGAGATACTTTCAACTTTCCGTCTGCCACGCAGAAAAAGGGGGTCGTGGTTGTAAAGGGAGTAGCCTCTGGTTCTTTTGTTACTTAGGTGTGGAAAGTTGGGGTTTTCCTTTTGATTTAGTTTTAGGAAGTCAGCATGAATTGGCCTTAGGTTTCCTGACTCCCAACGCTATTCTACTGCCTCAATTCTACAGTCACTTTCCAGTGTTGCAAGTATCTCAAGCCTGCTTTCACTATATAGACCCAGTCATTCCTCGAATATGTGCTTTCTTCTGGGGCTTCTGCTCACCAATTACCTGCTCAGCACCTCCAATTTGATGTTTTAGTGTGCTCAAGGATGAACTCATTATGCTCTTCTTGCCCCATTTACCTAACTCCAATGTCACCAGCTCTTTCTTCAGTGTTCCCCATCTCAGTAAATAGTGCCCCCCTCCTGCTATTTGCTTATGTTGGAAACCTTGGAGTAGGGCTGCATCAATATCTTCTGGGATGCTTAGCACCAAAATGTGCCTTACTGTATTTTGAAATAAAAAAAAATGACTGCATATCATAAAGTAAATCTTTAAAAATTCTAATTTTCCCATAGTAACAATTATGATGCTCTAAAAATGAATATCAAATCCTTTTCAAAATAATTTAGGGCCCCATCTTTGCTGTTGTTCTAGAACTGTTTGGTAGTCCAGCACTGTCTAGGAGTCAATAGTCAGAAACCATTTCCTGTTGACTCTACAACCTAAAATATTTTCAAATCTTTCTACTCCTCTCTGGCACCAATGAACTGTACTCCAAGTCATCCTGACCACATATCTGAAATTCTGCAATAGCCTCTGAACCCTTCTCACTGCTCTAGTTTATTCTCTACATAGCATCCAGACCAGGCAGAATGATTTCAGGGACACACATAACTAATTCTGTTCTGTTGTTCTACTGCCTAAAACTTCTCAGTGGTTTCACAGTGCCTTTAGGATAAAATCTCAGATCCTTAATAGGCCCAAGACCTTGCCACCTTGCTAGGAACCAGCCTCGCCTCTTGGTGTTCCTTTAAAGAGTCAAGCTCCTTACAAACCTTTATACACAATTTACTCTCTGCCAAGAGCTCTCTCCCCCTCCTGGCTTCTCTTTCTCCAGTTCTTAGATTTAATGTTCTTTCTTCAGATAAGCCTTTCTTAACCTTCTACACCAGGTCAATGCTTCTTGTTAAACACTTCCTTAGTAACCTCCAGGTTGCTTTGTAAGTAAAGGATTATTTGTGTAACTAATAGTTTAATGTCCCCTCTTCATGTTAATGCAAACTTCCTGAGAAAGAGTTGGTAACACACACGAGTAATTCAGGGATCTCTGAATCCAGTTGTGTCTGATTCTAGAACTCATGTCCACAACTACCAAGTGTACATAAATCTGCTCATCCTGGAAGATGGCTTTTTGCTTCTTTATTTCATGATAGCCAAATGTTGATGCACGGGAAGCCTTGCATCATATAACATCGCTGAGCAAATTCTACAGCAATGATGTTGTGCTGCTGGTGAACCCCTTTGTGCATGTTCTGTGAGTAGTGGACCATATACACCTCAGCTTTTACTTTCTGTTGACTACAGGCTGGACTAACTGCGCTAGACTCCAGATCTCTTATTGTATAATCTCCACATGCTTAAACAGGGGTGACATTAACCACTTTACAGGGTTGTAATAGTATTCATTTGGTCAATAAATACGTAATGAGCATTCAATATAGGCCAGACCTTGGTTTAGATGCTGGGGATGCCTTTAGCAGAGTGCTTATCTCCTTTAATGTTCCAGCTGGTCACTATTACTAGTACTGTCATAATTGTGTGTCGATGTTTGCTTATGTCACGGGGTATGAGATTTGTGACGTCTGCCACTCATGGCAGGGTCCCTGCGGCGCCTGTACCTCCAGCGGCACGAGGGCTTTGACTCCAGGGCATCACTGCGCGGCGTGGCCGCCTCTCTGCTCCAGGCCGCCAGAGGGCGCGTGGTCTCTACCGCCCCTCCGCTGTGCCTGAGTCTGCCCCTTACCAGCCACCCGGCCTCCGTTCCCCTCCCCAGCGGTGCCTGCCCCGCCTTGCATTCCCAAGCTCCGCCCCCGTTGCCCCTAGCGGCTGTTTGTTGACTTCCGGGAGCGCGGTTGTAGTTGATCCACGGAGTTTCGCCATGCGGAACTGGGGGGCTTTCGCGGCCCGAGTGGGGGCGGAGTAGCTGCCTTAGCCCCGACCAAACCGTCCTCTACAGCCTCCTGGCCCAGGCGCAGGCTGCCCGTACCGCCCTTGGCATGAAGGAGCCCGAAGAGCTGTTGCCCGGTGAGTCGCACCCGCGCCGGGGGCGGAAGGCCCGGAGGGAGGGTCCGCGGGCGGGCGGGCGGCCGGGCGGCCGGGCCCCGCCTCCGGATCGGCCCTGTAAGGGGACAGGCCCGAGGCCTGGCGGCCGGACTGGGGTGGGATCGCTGGTTGCGATCTCACGAATGACTGAGGGCAGAGGACCGCACGGGAAGAACAGGATGGGGGAGAACGGGAAAGAGGGTGCCTGTCTTTCTTATGTTTTTAAAATAAGCTTTTGATGAGATTCTTGAAGGCGGGACACTTTTTTTTTTTTTTTTTTTTTTTTTTGAGACGGAGTTTCGCTCTTGTTGCCAGGCTGGAGTGCAATGGCGCGATCTCGGCTCACCGCAACCTCCACCTCCCGGGTTCAAGCGATTCTCCTGCCTCAGCCTCGGAGTAGCTGGGATTACAGGCATGCGCCACCACTCCTGGCTAATTTTGTATTTTTAGTAGAGACGGGGTTTCTGTATGTTGGTCAGGCTGGTCTGGAACTCCTGACCTCAGGTGATCAGCCCACCTCAGCCTTCCAAAGTGCTGGGATTACAGGTGTGAGCCACCGCGCCCGGCCAGGCAGGGACACTTTTTACCTATCTGTAAACTCCCCAAAGTGCAGACTCCAGACTTGTGCACTTTGGAGGTCCTGAGCTCCCGGTTATGTATTGAATGCGGTAAAGAGTGAGTGATCAGGGTTGTGGGGTAAAAGGGGATACAGGAAATAAATTGGAAAAGAGGAAGAAGAGGGACCCTTTAGCGAGTGTTTTTTAGCCTTTTTTTCTGATCTCTATAGTTAGAAATACTTTTGACATTGTGACCCGATACCCCATACATACCGTGTAACAGAAATAGATGTCTCGTGATGCAGTCCTTGTTCTAACCACTTAGATTCCACAGACAGCTTTTTGATAATGCATTCTTTTAAAATGCTGATCGTGATCCACTGAATTGATTTTCTGACCCACTAATAGGTCACGACCATGTTGAAAAAACACTGGGTTTGAGCAGAATTATACCTTCACTGAAATATGTATGTTTTCTTCCATGCTCCTGGCCGGAACTTAGATTCCTCTCCTGCAGTTCACAATTTAGTGAGACATACAGGAAGGTGAACAAAATGACCATACAAATTGACAGTAGATGTTATAGGGCCAGAGCAGAGCCACCAAACCTTGGCTTGGGATGAGAGTATCAGGGAAGCCAGGGGAGCCAGGACAAAACAGTCCAAATGTTAAAATAATTCATTCTGGGGAAACTCAGAGTCTGTTCTAGATCCTAGTCGAACTGAGATGCCTCACAGTGGTTCTCAAAAAGTTGTCCACAGTGGCTAGTCTCTTGCATGTTAATATCTATTATTAATACTTATATTCGCCGTGTTTTCCTTTCTGGTACGAATTAGTTTATGTGTGATCACCCTCTTTGGGATTTCCCCAGAAGCTGGACCTGGCCTACTATTTGGTGTATGTGTGTATTTAAATGGTTTTTGGGAACTGCTAATTAGTCTCTCTTCAAAATGATCCTGTGCCACAACAGTTTGTGAATACTACTCAGATCAGGTAATGACTTGATGTAAGAATGTTAAATCTCAACATCCCCGTGTACTCCTCTCCCAATCTCCTAGGACCATGGCATTTTGTGATGTTTTGGGGGGAAAGATAAACCATCCTTTCCCATGTACTGTTTCTGGAAAGAGAAAAAGACATCTCTATGACTGACTGTAGTGCATGAGTAAGATGAGAATTAGAAACTTCCTGAGTAGCTGTGTTGAGAGGATCTTTTCATTTTATACTGGATCCCTCAACATTCTGAATTCTCAGAAATCAGGAAAAGCTGAAGTGCTCCTTTGCTGACGACTTGGGTAACCTGTCTTTTATATGAACAATGTCGAAAGTTATATTTGACTATCTACTCACCATTATGATGCATTCGTAAACAAAACATTGAACAGTTACGAATATACATGTGTGTAAGGGGAACCCTTTCTGTGTGAAAAGTAGAACACACAATGGCTACTTTGTGCTAGGCAATATGGGTAGTGCAGACAGTTTATACCCTCTGTAACCTTAGAAAATAGTTGGAAAAAAACAACATTCGGGTAACAAATGGTGAACTCTGTCTGTGTTTCAACACAGAAAAGCAGTGACTGTTTTTTTTTTTTTTTTTTTTTTTTGAGACAGAGTCTCACTCTATCGCCCAGGCTGGAGTGCAATGACGCTATCTTGGCTCACTGCAACCTCCGCCCCTGGGGTTCGTGCGATTGTCCTGCCTCAGCCCCCGAAGTAGCTGGGATTACAGGCGCCCACCACCATACCCGGCTAATTTTTGCATTTTTAGTCAAGACAGGGTTTCACCACGTTGGCCAGGCTGGTCTCAAACTCCTGACCTCAAGTGATCCACCCGCCTAGGCCTCCCAAAGTGCTGGGATTACAGGTGTGAGCCACTATACCTGGCCAACATTTTTAAAGTATAGCTTTTTATTGCTTTGTGAGGACCTCATCTTACATATTATGCTACCTACCAAGCTCTCTAATCAAACTGTTACACAAATCTTGCTGAGATTTGTAATTTTGCTGATTTGTGTAACAGTTTAATTAGAGAGATTGCTAGGTAGCACAATTATTTGCCATATAAATTCTACAAATCACATAGTTCAGAGAAGGCAGTGATCATTTCCAACTCTTATGGTGGAGGAAGAGTTTACAGAGGCAGCTATGAGCTACCACTTTGAGGATGCTAGGCTCTGAGCTAAGTTCATGTCATCTCATTTAATCCTTACAACAACCTTTGAATACCTAGTTGCCTTTAAAGCCTGGTTTTTTGTTTTTGTTTTTGTTTTTGTTTTTTTCTAGCTGCTTTCCCTTGGTTCAAATGAAAGAGATAGTGGTGGAGTAATTTGTTTCTCTCTGTGCTGTCTCTGGTTTTATGGGTATTCATTGGGATTACCAACAGAGAAAGTAAGAGTTCACCATTTTGGCCAGTTGTCGTGGTTCATGCCTGTGATCCCAGCACTTTGGGAGGCCGAAGCAGGAACCCAGGAGTTTGAGACCTGAGCCTAAGCCCAGGAGTTTGAGACCAGCCTGGGCAACATGCTAAAACCCCGTCTGTGCAAAAATTACAAAATTTAGCTGGACATGGTGGCACACGCCTATAGTCCTAGCTACTCTGGAGGCTGAGGTGGGAGGATTGCTTGGGCCCAGGAGGTCGAGGTGGCAGTTAGCCGTGATTGGGCCACTGCACTTCAACCTGGGTGACAGAGTGAGACCCTGTCTCAACAAAAATAAAAAGAGTTCACCATTTGGGCTAACGTTGTTTCCCTTGCATGAGAACACTGGAGGTTCCTTGGAAAACCTGGACCAGAGAAAATCCAAATTGACTGATAGAGACTCTCCCCATAGATATCCTGATGAAGTTAATGAGGAAGCTAAATACTGTCCTGTTTCTGTGTTTGGAGAAAAGCTCTCAGTCAGAGGCCAGACCATGAGGTGTTAACCAGAACAAGACTAGCACAAATTGTACCATTTCATTCCAGGGAATAGACATCTACTTGGTGACAGCAGAACTATTAGTAATAGATGACTGCCTTCCTTGTGATAGTATATTTCTTACTTTGTGCCAATACATGTTCAATCTAGTAGATTTCAGAGATAAAACTATAATGGAGTCTGAGGAATAAGAAAGACTGAATTAAGGTGGAAGAAGGAAGGCTTAAACATTGCCAGAGTGGGGGCAAAGCTGTCATGAAACAAGAGGTTTGTATGGATAAATTACTGAAAAGGTATTTAAATAACAGGCAACATAGTAAAAGTTATAAAATGGAGACCATCTTATATTTGCAGATTCGGGTGCTGTGTTTACATTTGGGAAAAGTAACTTTGCTGAAAATAATCCCAGTAAATTCTGGTTTAAAAATGATGTCCCTGTACATCTTTCATGTGGAGATGAACACACTGCTGTTGTTACCGGTTAGTATTACAATCCTGAATGAGGACAGTAATACTTAGAAAATTCTAAATATTATGTTATAGATACGCTGCTGTGTTTTAAACATGTTGAAAATATATCATAAGTGTTGTTTTTTACTTTGCCAGAGAATTCTTCACAAAATAAGTCATCAGGAGTGTCTTTTAAATTTTAAGTTTCCTTAGTATATTTAAGTATGATTTTCTATACACACAACTTTCTTGAAATGAATCTATTTCAATATAATTAAAAAACTGTTACTGTATAATTTTAGAAACTCTTTCCCACCTAATAGAATCTGGTTATACATAGATGAACAAGGTAACTTGTTTCAACACAGAAAAGCAGTGACATTTAAAAAGTATAGCTTTTTATTGCTATGTGATGACTCATCTTACATTGTGTGAAAAATGCTTCAGTTGATTATTTCTTTTTCCCTCCCACCAGGAAATAATAAACTTTACGTGTTTGGTAGTAACAGCTGGGGTCAGTTAGGATTAGGATCAAAGTCAGCCATCAGCAAGCCAACATGTGTCAAAGGTTTGGGATCTTTTTACCTTTTCACAAACTGTATAAAGTGTTTTTATGTTGACCGTGTAGTTCTTTAATGTCATAAATAATAAAGCCTTTAGTTGTTTACTTTCTGACATTTGCTTGAATATTATTAGCATTTAACTTATCTTTCATATGATATTCAGAACTGCTTTTATATGTTAGGGTCTAAAAATCAGATTGATTTTAAATCCAGGGACCACAAAGGAAGTAATGATTTTACAGGATTGCATTTGAACATCCCCCCTCCTTTTTTTTTTTTTTTGCTTGTTTGTAAAACTACTTACGTATTACTGTTATTGTGTATACAGAGAACAAACATATGTTAGAATTTTGAGCTTTTGTCATTTAATAGAGTTGTGGACATTATGCTTCTATTTAGTTGCTGGTTTTATAAAACATACTTATCCTGCTTTATATAGTGACTAGGTGAAGTAAACAAAACATCGAGACTAGGGATTGATTAGTACTAGTGTAAAAGAACAACAGGACAAAATATTTGAAATCAGGAGTGTTCCAGAAAATGTTAGATATATAATACCCTTACAAAGCTTTCTGGATGTTATATGCAAAACCTCTGTTTGGGTATAACCTGTGAACATCAGCTAAACTTGAAAGGATGATGAAGATTCCTTGAGATGTAGTAAGAGCAGTATTTTTTATCTTCCTGGCTAAATTTTAATTTCAACTCAAAATGTCAGTGTAGCTTGTCATATTCATGCTGTTTATGGGAATTGTTATGGAACTTTTAAAGTATTCCATGTGTTCAAAAAGTATTTATTGAGCACAGTCTAAGCACTTGGGGATATTCACAGTGACCATGACCCTTACTCTCAAATATCTTATCTAATAGACAAGCTAACAGGATTGTTTAGACTATGGGATCCTTGAGACCAGGAATTCTATCTTAGTCATCTTTTTGCAGCCCCTATGCCAAGCACTTAGGAGATGTTCTTTAAATGTTTTTTGAATATATGGATGAATGAATGAACAACTTTGATTCATAGGTGTATGTATACCTATCAATCTTTCAGTTTTTCATTGAATGTGGTAGAAGGTGAGCTTGATAACGGTGATGGCAGGTTAGGTAATGGATCAGATTGGTGAGGAGGCAGCATAATAGAATACAGTGAGTCTCAGCACATATTAACTACCTGTGAAGTTGTTTTTGTTTTTGTTTTTGTTTTTTGAGACAGGGTCTCACTCTGTCGCCCAAGCTGGAGTGCAGTGGCGTGATCTCTGATTACTGCAGCCTCAACCTCCTGGGCTCCAGCCATCCTCCCACCTCAGCACCCCCTCTCCAAATAGCTGAAACTACAGGCATGCACCACCACACCCAGCTAATTTTTGTATTTTTTTGTAGAGATGGGGTTTCACCATGTTGCTCAGGCTGTTCTGGAACTCCTGAGCTCAAGCCATCCGCCCGTCTTAGCTTCCCAAAGTGCTGGGATAATAGGTGTGAGCCCCCGCTCTGGCCTATCTGTGGAGTTTAAAAATATACATATATAGATGCCTAGCCCCTACTTTAGACCCACTGACTCAGATTCCCTAGGGATGGGGCTAAGATATCTATATTGTATTCAAGCTCCACTGGTTATGATGGTACACAACCAGTTCTGAAAACCTCTGGTTTGCTAGTTAAGAACATTGACTTTGGAATCAGACAAGCCTGCTATTAAATCTCGGTTCTATCACTTAGTTACCATTTGTCCTGGACCACTGTTCATTTTCATTGCTGTAAAATAATTGTCCCATTTTTAAATATTTTTAGCTCTAAAACCTGAAAAGGTGAAATTAGCTGCCTGTGGAAGGAACCACACCCTGGTGTCAACAGGTATAGTGCTCAACATGTATGATTTCCTGCCTGACTTTGAGAACTGAGGTCTCATTCCAGTAACGTGGTTTTGTAAAATTAATAGAGATTATACTTTGGCAACAGTAAAATTAGGGATTTTAAAAATGTCAATGGCTAGTACACGTTTGCCTTTGCAAATATACACATAAATGTCAAATGACTGAAGAAAAAGCTTCTTTTCTTGGATTATATCATGGGACAGCATCTCCTAACCTGTGTGTCCACCTTAGGGGCTGGTTATTCCTGTTCTTGCTCTTCTAGAACTCTTCCTTACTAAGGTTGAGTGGAAGGCACCCAAAAGGCTGTTGATGTGAGCGAGCACAATTCCCATCAAAATCCATACCAGCTTTTGTGTGTGTATGTGTGTTTGCAGAAATTAACAAAGTGCTTCTAAAATTTATATGGAAAACAATTGACATAGAAGAGCCAAAACAATTTTGAAAAATAACAAAATTAGAGGACTGGCACTACCTGATTTCAAGACTCACTGTAAAGCTGCCATAATCAAGACGGTGTGGTATTGGCAAAAAGATAGACAAAGATTAATGGAACAGAATAGAGTCTACAAGTAGACCCATATATATATGCCCACTTGATTTTTGGCAGAGATGCGAAATTCAATAGAGAAAGAGTAGTATCTTCAGCGAATGCTGCGATAACAACTAGACCTCCAGGACCTGACCACTGAGCAGTTCTTCCTACCACCTTCCCCCTGCCCCTGCCCCACGCCCCCAACCACTTATTCTGTCTTCAGGATGTTTTCACTGTGTCAGCTGCTCTCCATCTCTCCATACCTTTCCCTTTCTGAAGTGTCTTTTCTCTTTCTCTTAGGCTTTTCAGATTATCTTTTGAGATCCCATTAAGTGTTACTTCTTCCATGGAACATTTTGTGACTGTTCAACTTTGTGTTCATTTATGTGTTTGAATTATTTCAATCTCACCAACTCTGGTTTGCTCCATGTGTGTTAAATTGTGCACTCCAATTTCTTGTGACCTTGTATGTATTTTCCATTTGAAAGCTAGTCTTGTTTCCCCAATTAGGTTTCCTCTTTTCTTAAAAACAAAAAATAAAAATAACAATAACTTTAAAATTTTTACTGACTCAGGCTGATTCTGCCCTCATTTCACCCTATAATTTAGCAAGGCTTTAACTTCGTGTATATATTTATGACATAGATAACTAATTATGTGTTTAAAATCTTCATTAATTTACAACTTACTGGAAATGTTTATAATCTAGGCATGATGTACTTTTTATTTAATTAACAGAGTAATTAACAAACATTTTTACATACTTTAAATGAGCCAAATGCTGTTCTAAGAATTTTACAAATCTCAACTAATTCAATCTTCATCATAACTCTATGAAGTAGGTACTATTATTATCCCCATTTTATAGATGAGGAAAATGAGGCACACAGAGGTTATGGCTTGCCCAAGGTCTCACAGCTTTGGTAAGTGGTAAGCCAGAATTTGCACCCAAGCAGTCTGGCTCTGGAGTCTTTCCTCCTAAACAGAGTGCTGTAGTGACTTCTTATTTAACTAGGAAGTTAAAATGAATACAACATAGAATTATCATGTTTCTAATTAGATTCTTCTTGGATTTGCCTCGTTTTACTTATTTATACTATATCTTAGCTTTAATGGGTACAGAAGTTAAAATTAATGGACACATCTCTTTTAAAATAGATTTGCATTTTAAACTAGTTTGGAAGTTACTTTCCTTGTTTTTACTCTGAATTAATAAAGTACTATATTAGCAAGAAATACGTTCCATTCATTCTGTTCATTTCAGTTGCTAGTTACATTCTAGATTGATTTCTGACATCTCACAAAAATATGTGACCTTGCTTGTTTTGCTTTATTTTGACGATGAAATGAAGTTGTCTCCCAAATAATAGGATAATGATAGCTTTCAACTTTCTTCACTGTTAATAGAGGAAATCGCTGCTGTACACTGACATGTCTCGTAAAAAGGGGCACTCTATAGTCTGTTGATGTTTTCTTTTCCATGTGCAGAAGGAGGCAATGTATATGCAACTGGTGGAAATGATGAAGGACAGTTGGGGCTGGGTGACACTGAAGAAAGAAACACTTTTCATGTAATTAGCTTTTTTACATCCGAGCATAAGATTAAACAGCTCTCTGCTGGATCTAATACTTCAGCTGCCCTAACTGGTGAGGCTTGTTTCTTTTTCAGTCTGGGACACATTCCTTTCCTGTAAATCGATATATGCCAACTCAGTAAACTGAAGGGAGCATTGCTGTTTAGTTTTCTTTCATTGACTGTCTATGTGTTTTCAGAAAACATTTAAAATATAACTTTAAATCTTGACATACTGCAATTTTATGCTTATTTATGCTTATTTTATGCTTATTTGTGCTTATTTAAATATACATTTAAAAAGTAATTGGCAAATAAGCTCTAAGCTATGCTCTCCGTCTACTCCTTTAGATATTCTTAAATATTATTTTCATTGTGTGCTCTTAAAGCTCATACTTACAGTTTTAACTGAAGTTGCTATCAGAAACATCCACAGAAATCTATTGCAGCATATGGTGTTAAAATGTGATTTGTAACAGTCATTGTACCTCTCTGCCCTCCCTACCAAAAGCCCATATGAGACATTTCTTTAAAATTTGGAGCCAAGATCAGCTTGATCTCACTGAAGCTGCTGGTTACCTGCTTTGTTTCAAGCAGGAGACTGTGTAACATCCGGTGTTACTCTATCAGGAAAGTCAGAGTTGTATCTGAAGCTCCATCCTTTAGATTTTGTCAGCCCTTAAGTTAGCATTTTGACATCCTTCTTTCGGTTGTTATTTTCATTTATTTGTTTTGCATTACTAAACCACTTCAAAATTTACATTATTTAAAATATATAAATAAATCTTGAGAATTCCTTTCTAAAATATTTTTCCTAGATTTTTTCTGACATCAAAACCCTTATCAGAAATGATATAAGTTACCTATTTTTGAGATGTTTTACATGATATTATATCTTTATTCTCTAAAGGCTAGATTCTGTGTTTTCAGGTTTAAATTACAAGGAAAAAAATATGTAGTGAAATACATTTCTTCTCTTCTTTTTTCCAAAACATCATTTCCACAGTGCTCTCAAGAGCAAGGTCTTCCAGGCTTTTTTGACCTGCAGGTGTCTAATGTGACCTGTGCTGTCTTTCAGTTCGGTTGCAGGTAGACTGCTTGGAAGGAGGAGAACATTTCTGTTTAGAGACACTAGCATGGGAAAGGGTGATTGTAGGAAAGGGCGTTCTGTCTTTGCTATTGAGATAAAAATATGGCCAGGACTTAAGTGATTTACAATCAGGCTGTTCTGTGTTCTTTATCATTATAGAAGTATTTCACAATATAAATTGAACTCTTAAGTAGCTAACTGGTGTAAATGCCTTAGTAGTACTTTATTGTTAAGATACATACTTTTTATGAACTATAAAATAAATGGTCTTTTGGAAGTATAATAGCTTCAGAGCCTGACTACCTTTTAAAACCTTTTCTCCCCCTTGTATTTTTCTTTGTAGAGGATGGAAGACTTTTTATGTGGGGTGACAATTCCGAAGGGCAAATTGGTTTAAAAAATGTAACTAATGTCTGTGTCCCTCATCAAGTGACCATTGGAAAACCTGTCTCCTGGATCTCTTGTGGATATTACCATTCAGCTTTTGTAACAAGTAAGACACATTTTGAAGTCATCATGTTATCTCCCACTTCTATGTTATTATTAAATTAATAATGAAATGATGTAACATATTCTCTGGTTCTATAGAAATAATGCCATGGTTGTCCATGTAATGAAATTGTTTTGGTCTGTTTTAGGTCACAGTATTTCCCCATTTATATAATAAGAGTTCATAATTTCAAACTGTGTCTGACATGATCACTTTTTAGGTGAATACAGAGAGCTCAGCGTGGGATATGGTTTCCTTTGGTAGGACTTCTCAGCATTCCCAACTTCTCCCTTTACTGGACCTACTGGCAACCTTTTCTATCTTAGTTAAAATATTTGAAATGTTGGGCTCTAGCTGTTATAGTCTATATCTACACTAGTAATAACAGGAAGTGTGATTATGACTTTGCATCTAATTGATGGGATTTTTTAATAGTAAAAATACCTAGAGGAAATAGTTTATGGACACTCTTAGACAAATCTTTAAAGATTTATTTTATACATTTACTCTTTATTTCATGTACCACAGACTCAGGGTTAGAAAGTGGTAATTCACCCATCTCAGTGCCCCCCAAAGTTACCAGTGAATTGGCAGCAGCATGATACCAAGAGAGAGTAAACCTGACTTTGTCAGTATTTTTCACCACTGCATCCCTGGTGTCTTGAACAAACCGATAATCAATAAATATTATTGAATGAGGGAGAAAATGAATGAATGATGAATTGATTGCATTCCTTGGGGCAACAACACCTACCAACTTATTGGCTACTTTTGACTCCTGGGGTTGGTATAGTCTGTACTTGCTTTGTTCTTGAAACAAAAAACAGGAAACAAAAACAGAAATGGGAAAAAAAAGGCAGCCAAACAATAAAAGTACCAAGCAAAAGCATTGTTTTATATTTAGACTTTAAGAAAACTGCCAGAATGAATTGTGTGAATGAACTCTGCATTAGCCATTAGGTGAACAAGTGGAATAGTTCATCTTAACCAACAGGCATTACATTGAGCTTTTTTTTGGTGTGTTTTTATGCTTTTTTAAAAAATTAAAACCCAGCTTTATTGAGATATAATTCACATACCCTACAATTCACCCATTTAAGGTATATGATGGAATGTTTTTTAGCATATTCACAGGTTTGTACATAAAATGAACTTTTATACCAAGCATTTTGCTGAGATTCATTTACATCAGCTAATATAAACTGTCAGTAATTTTCACACTAGCCATTATTTTATGACTTTAATCACTTGAAGCAACTTTTTACAAATTTTGGAAATAACTCAAGTATAAGGGGTTTTACTTAATATGTATTTCATGATAGATGAAAATGTTATATAGAAAAGCATTTTTTTCTCTTTGTATGTTGAATTTGTAGATCAGAAAAAACAGATTCTTTATTTTTAATTTTTAGTATTTGTGGGTACATAATATATATATATAGTGGGTACATTATATATATATGTGTGTGTATATATATAGGGTACATTTTATGTATATATATATGGAATACCTGAGATGTTTTTATACAGGCATGTGATGGGTAATAATCACGTCATGGAGAATGGGGTATCCATCCCCTCAAGCATTTACCCACAGACAATCCAATGATACTCTCTTAGTTATTTTAAGATGTACAGTTATTTTGATTGTGCTGTCAAATACTAGATATGTGCAGATATCCTGTTGTGCTGTCAAATACTAGATATTATTATTTCTAATTTTTGGACCCATTAACCACCCTCCTACACACACCCCACTCCCCTTTCTAGCCTTTGGTAACAATCCTTCTACTCTTTATTTCCATGAGTTTGTTTTGATTTTTACATCCCACAAATAAGTGAGAACATGCAGTATATGTCTTTCTGTGCCTGTTTTATTTCATTTAACGTAATGACTTCCAGTTCCATCCATGTCATTGCAAATGACTGGATCTCATTCTTTTTCATGACTGAATAGTACTCTATGGTGCATAAGTACCACATTTTTTCTTTTTTTTGAGACAGAGTCTTGCTCTGTTGCCCAGGCTGGAGTACAGTAGCGCAATCTCAGCTCACTGCATCCTCTGCCTCCCGGGTTCAAGTGATTCTCCTGCCTCAGCCTCCTGAGTAGCTCGTATTACAGGCGCCATCCATCATGCCCAGCTAATTTTTTTGTATTTTTAGTAGCAACAGGGTTTCACCATGTTGGTCAGGCTGGTCTTGAACTCCTGACCTCAGGTGATCCACCCACCTTGGCCTCCCAAAGTGCTGGGATTACAGGTCTGAGCCACCACGTCCAGCTCCACGTTTTCTTTATTCAGTCATCTGTTGATGAACACTTAGGTTGCTTCCAAATCTTGGCTATTGTGAACAGTGCTGCAACAAACATGGGAGTGCAGATATCTCTTTGATATACCGGTTTCTGTTCTTTGGGTATATACCCAGCAGTGGGATTGCTGGATCATATGGTAGCTCTGTTTTTAGTTTTTTGAGGAACCTCCAAACAGAATAGTTTATTTCCTAATAAAAATGCAGAACATATTACTAAGATAGTTATGTTTAAGACTTCCTACAGATTTTTCACCTACTAGTATGTTTAAATGCTCATGTTCGTATTTTAAATTCATGTTCTCAATTCAAGTTCATATTATAAATTATATAAAATATTCAATTTTTAGATGTTATAGGTAAAATCTATGGAGTTTTCAGGTATTATCCCTGATTTCTGTGTCTTTTCGTCTGATATGTTAATGGTTGGGTCTGAGCATTTCAACCAATGATTCACTGATTTAGGTGTAGTACAATAGGGGATATAAGCAAATGAGTTGGGGTCATGGGAACTGGGGGCAGGAATTTGTGGAGCAATCTTCAGAGACTGGAGAATAGAGACTTGGCAGTGTGCTTAAGATCAGAATCCTGGGGAAGGTAGCTATCAGAGCCAGGTAGATAGTTTGAGGAATCCAGATTTTATAAAAATTAATAGACCTAAGTGAAGTAGATATAATTGATATGAAATGACCTATTTGTTCTTCATGATAAATGTTATTTTATTTTTTATATATAAATAAGAAAAAGACCTTGAAATTAAATAAAACATTTTATATGGATTAAAAGCACTCACCTTCCCCTTTAAGGAAGGTCCTACTGATAAGCTACAGGAAATATCTTCTTACCCTTTATAGCAGGCTCATCCAACCCGCAGCCCAGGATGGCTTTGAATGTGGCCCAACACAAATCGTAACCCTTCTTAAAACATGAGATTTATGCACAGACCTTTTCTTTTTTTAGCTCATCAGCTATCGTTAGTGTTAGTGTATTTAATGTGTTGCCGAAGACAGTTCTTCCAGTGTGGTCCAGGGAAGCCAAAAGATTGGACACCCCTGCTTTATAGGTAAAACATTTTACTTTAAAAAGTTGACACTGTGAGAAACCTCAGCAACTTACTATGTAAAAGTCATTTTAAATGCTATTTCTTACCATACCAAGTTGATTAAAATGTAGTACCTGCCCTTCTGGAGTTTACAGTCAAACTATAGGATGTATAGTTTTCCATGTACAAAGCATTTTCAAGTACAAATAGATTTCATTTAATCTCCCAACCACTCTGAGAGAGAGGTGGTGGTATCTCTGATTCCGTATGTGCAGGCAGGATTCGAACACAGTTTTATTCAAAGTGATGCTGCAATTGAGTTGCAGAATCAGAATTTGAACTCCAGTCTTCCAGCTCTAAAAGCCAGAACAACTTCTACTGACATGCAGTTTCTCTCCATGTACAAGAGGAAGAGGAGGATTTGGTAGCAACTACTAATGACCAGGCACTGATTGTGTTCTAAGTGCCTTTGAATGTATTAATTCAGTTATTCCTATGAAACAACCCTATCACACAGGCACTTTTATCCCCATGTTACAGGCCTAGCGATTGAACAACTTGCTCAGTATGATTGAGTAAGTGGCAGAATCCAGATGCAAACAAGGCAGTCTGACTCTGGAGCACATACTTTTCACTACTGTACTAGACCAATAACTGCAATATACAGCAGACCATGATTGGCAACATAAGACATTTGATAGCAGAGTCTTACGTGAGATCAAGAAGGAAAAAATATTATTTCTTGTTAAGGACATCAGGACATATTTCAGAGAAAGGGTGGTATTTGAGATTAACCATGAAAGATGGAAGCAACTCTGAGAGAGACAGAGATGAGGGAAGAACAATCCAGGCAGAGACAAAAACATGTGCAGAGATAAAGAGACAGAAAAGTAAATCATGTATTTGGAGATTATTGCATAGTTGAGTTTGTTTAGAGGTTGTTTGTTTAGAGGTTAGGGATCATGGATCCTAAAGGAATGTGAACCCCTAAAATGATATGCTAAATTTGGTAGGTGCATTTTTTTTTTTTTTTTTTTTTTTGAGCCAGGTCTCAGTCTGTTGCCCAGGCTGGAGTGCAGTGGCATAATCACGGCTCACTGTAGCCTAGACCTTCTGGGCTCGAGTGATCCTCCCACCTCATTCCCCTGAGTAGCTGGGACAAAGATGCATGCCACCACACCCGGCTAATTTTTGTATTCTTTGTAGAGACATGGGTTTCACCATGTTGCCCAGGCTGGTCTCAAACTCTTAGACTCAAGCCATCTGCCAGCCTCGGCCTCCCAAAGTGCTGGGATTACAGGTGTGAGCCCATCCCACCCTGCTGGGATGTGTACTTTTTTTATAGAGCTGTCATCAAATTCTCAAGGGAGGATGTGACTCAAAAGAGAGTCACCAGCTTGGGAGTAGATAGAAATATGACTGGTTAGTAGTCCGGGGACCTAATATGGAAGGTCTCTTGTAACAGTCTGCAGTTTATACTTGATACATGTATTTTTTTTTTACTTGGAGGTGTCATAATTAGAGCCTTGTTTTTGGAAGATATATCTGATATTGTGTGGATATGTTAGATTAGAGGTAGGAAAGACATTTGAAAAACTTGATCCAGGTGAAAATTCATGTTAAGGTGTAAAGGGAATCAGGAATCTATAAACAGAAATGGAGAGAGACTCATCAGGACTTAGGAACCAGTTTCTATGGGAGGCAACAAGCATGGGAGAATGGAAGGGTGCTAACTTACTGGGCGCCACTTTTGTGTCAGTGTTTGCTAAATACTTCATAGAAAACTGTGGTCCATAAAACTTCATTTTCTGTGCAGATCAATTCAGAAAATCAATATAGCTGTGTTTACAGTATTTGAGCAAGTTTCAAGTGGTGCATATCTTGTGCATTGGCTGTCCCACACCTTCCCGAAGTTCCGTGATTTTCTAGAAGGACTCACAGTCTTCAATAGAAGATTATACATATGAATAAGATTTATTACAGCAAAGGATACAAAGCAAAAAGAAAAAGTGGGGAAAAGATAAGCATCTACAGTGGAGTCCAGAGAAGTCGTGCTTGGACTTCCTAGTACTTTCTCTTAGGAAACCACACAGGGCATGTTTTCTTTTTAGCAGTGAACTACAGGGACATGTGTGGAATGTCTCTGCCCAGGGAAACCCATTCTGGTGCTTCCAGGGGATTTAGCAGGCTGGTCATATAGGCACCACCTGCTAGCAACTGGCCACAGCAGCTGAAACTCAGGACCCTCAATAATGAAGCCAGGTGCGCATCATCAATGTTAATGTTTGTGCAAGCAGCCCTGAGAAACCTAATCTGGCATAGTTCATTGCTCTGGTATATATAACAAAGTCATTAATCATTCATATAAAGAACACTCCAGGGGCCACCTTCTCAGGGGTTGGGCAAGGATCAATCATGGTTCTCTCAGAGACTTACAAAGAATAAGCAAGCAGATCTGCTCTGTTGTCTCTTTGCTGATACCAATGGTGATGTGTTCTATGTCATTCTTGAGATTGGACCATATACTTACACAAGATTTTTAAATTCTACTTTATACAACTCAGTTAATTGCATAGAAATGAATAAGAAAGTTCTTGCTTTCAAGAAGTTCACAGTCATAATACAGTGTGATAAATGTAATAAAGAAGCAAATTAATAGTGTTAGTATGGACAGGGCAGTGATTGTCAGGAACTCTTTGGTAAGCGTCTTTGGAGGAAATGCCATCTAAATGGGTAAAATCTGCTATGTTAGGATTTACTTAACATATTTACTGCACACACAAGTGAGTTTTCTAAACCAGTTTCATATAAAGCAATTATTTATTCATTTATTCCACAAATGTTAAGTGCTTGTTCTAGACACTGCTAGGTTTTGGGGATACCGTAGGGAGCAAGACAAAATTCGTGTTTTTATGGGAGCTTTAAGTAAGTAGAAGACACAAGATATTCTTCACTTTTGTGAAAGCACTAAAATGATTTCTAGTTGTTTATTAGTAGTGGTAGTCATGAATTTTTCATGAAAATTACTGGATTAAAATAATCAAGGGGAAAAGAAAATCTAGCTTTATTTCCTTATCATACAGTGAAAATATCTCAAGAAAGGTCAAATGTATTAAGTTATCCTTGTCAAAACATTTTTTTGAAGGTAAGATCAGCTTTTTGTTCATATGTATGTCATCACTAATCACTGTACTTTTCCTTCAATAGCAGATGGTGAGCTATACATGTTTGGAGAACCTGAGAATGGGAAGTTAGGTCTTCCTAATCAGCTCCTGAGCAATCACAGAACACCGCAGCTGGTGTCTGAAATTCCTGAGAAGGTGATCCAAGTAGCTTGTGGCGGAGAGCATACTGTGGTTCTCACAGGTATGTATGGAGTCCACTGTTCTGTTCCCTGCTTTCTGTGGAGACCAATGAAATTTTTTTAATGTTCATTTTTTTTTATTGTGGTAAGAATACTTGCTGTAAGAACTACCTTCTTAATAGATTTTTAAGTGTATAATACAGTATTTTTATATGTAGGCACCACCATTGTACAGCAGATGTCTGAAACTTATCTTGAGTAACTGAAACTTCATGCCCACTGTACGGCAACTCGTCTTTCCCACCGCCCCTCAGCTCCTGGCAACCACCATTCTGTTCTTAGCCTCTATGAGTCTGACTCTTAGACACCTCGTGTCAGGTGGCTTTGCATCTCTTTCCATTAAGATTCTCACTTTTGGGGCCTGGTGCAATGGCTGACACCTGTAATCCTAGCATCTTGGGAGGCCAAGGCGAGCAGATCTCTTCAGCCCAGGAGTTTGAGACCAGCCTGAACAACATGATGAAACCCCAGATTAGCCAGGTGTGGTCTCAGCTAGACCTTGTCTCCAAAAAAAAAAAAAAAAAAAAAAAAAACACACACACAACCCAAAAAGATTCTCACCCTTTATTTCTATACTTAATATGTATTTCTGGTCTATGAAATAATTTTTTTAAGTAGAAAAAAATGAATTCTGCTAATGTAATTTACATTTTCATGACCTTAACTTTTTTTTTTTTGGAGATGGATTTCACTTTTGTCATCTAGGCTGAAGTACAATGGCCCGATCTCGGCTCACTGCAGCCTCTGCCTCCTGAGTTCAAGCAATTCTCCCGCCTCAGCCTCCTGAGTAGCTGGGATTACAGACGCCCATTACCATGCCCGGCTAATTTTTGTATTTTTAGTAGAGAGGGGGTTTTGCCATGTTGGCAAGACTGGTCTCGAACTCCTAACCTCAGGTGATTCACCCGCCTCGGCCTCCCAAAGTGTTGGGATTACAGGCGTGAGCCACCACATCTGGCCTGACCTTAACATTTTTAATGGCAACATATTCCATTATTTTTAGCTCATTTTCAGGGACAAACAATTTTTCTTATATATATGTTTTCTATATTTATCTAACATTGACATTTTTCCTGAAATGCCTTCTGTTGGAGAAGCTTTTTTTTTTCTACATGACATTGATAATTCTTTTTTTGGTGATATTTACAGTGTATAACTTGGGAATTTCTTTGTAGTTGTATGTTCTGTTACAGTAATTCATTAAAAAGTGGCAAGGTTTTAAATTACAGATAATAAAATAAAGTTAGGACCTTAATAGTAATGTTACTTTTGGGATCTGAATTTCATATTTGTTATGACATGTCATTTCTCAGAATTCTAATCACTGTATTGAAATATACTCACTACTTGCTAATATGTTTACTAAATTAATGCTTCCAAATTTTTTTCAACATTAGATTTATTTTAGATTAGTAATGTACATAATACAATTAGGTAGTGAATTATTATATTTTTTGCACAAAAATTAACAGTTTATGAAGTCACCGCTTAATCTTTAGTAGCCCAAAGTTAGAAATGTTGCAGACAAATTTTGAATAATATCCAATTCTAAGATGATATGCCTAACGTTGCCAGGTAAGTGAAGAATATTTTATCTTTATATTTTTTTCTCTGATGTTACTTTTCCTCAACTTCCTGTTCCAGCCCCAGTCGTGGTTATTAAGCTTTAGTTACTAGATGGAATCTTTTCTAAGTTAGAAATAATTTTTTTTCAAAACTTATACTCTAAATTTGGAAATAATTCTGAGGTTTAAGATTTTTTTTGAATTCCTGTTGAAAAAGTGAATTTTTATATAATTTCAAAAATGTCCTAAAAATTAAACTTTGAAATTAATTTGTAAACATTATCTGAAAATTCATTGTATAGACGGAAATGCAACTTTGTGTGTTATATATTTTCTCTAGTTTATACAAAGATTATAGAAAGAATGAATAGGTCATTCAGGGTTATTTTAACAGATACAAATGCTGATTGTATAATAATAGTGTCTTCAACCATTCATTATAAAATATTTTTCTATAAAGTGAGCAACAAGATAAATAATGAAAGCTTAATTCTTACTTTTATATTCTTAATTTAAAATAAACGCACTTAAGGATGGTATTTTCTTGTGGTTTTAAAGATATTTAACTTTCTGTGGTCTTTGTTCTGAGCTTAAGTATAATCTTTCCAGAAACCGATTGCTCTCTCCAGATTTTTGCAAGCTTTGGGATCTCATACACCAGGAAAGTTTTTTAAATTATGAGATGCATCTAGTATTATTTACCACTAAGATTTCCACTACAGATACAAGAAAAGAAGGTATCCTTACATTTCTATCTGATTGTGGCAGTAACTGTTGAATGAGGAGATACAGAAAAACTTGGCAATGCAGGGAAAAAAACATGAAGAGTTACACAGTTCATAAATAATTTTGTAAACAGTGAAGAGCTTGTGTTACAATCCAGAGAATAACCTCAAATTTGAGTTTAAAAAATTATGAGAACCAATAGATGGTTGTCAGCTTCTGATTCACATTTGCCTAAATATGGGCATTGAAAAAAATGACTATTTGCACTATCATATCATAAAATAAGGAATATTTTCAAAATAGAAAGCTCTTAATTGTATAATAAAGGACACCTCCTTCAACTGTATAAATGTATCTGTATGGAAATTTCACTACTTTGCCTGTTTTCATTTCTCCATGGACCTGTGCAAGCTATTATGAGCCAGCCTGGTGAGAACACAGTTCTGGAATACAGTATAGGCAGAATATTAAAAATATTTAGTCCTAGCTGATGAAGAAATGGACCTGAAGAGTATATTGATCATCAGTGTGACTAAATACTAAACTGGATTACTAAGAGTTATGGAACATTTTGTAAGACCTTAAGGAAAGAATAGCTAATCACCTGTTCCAATTTCTTTCACTAAAGAAAAGCACTTGGATTAGATTATTCTATGAAGAGCCTTCCCAGCCATTTTGTAAGACCTTAAGGAAAGAATAGCTAATCACCTGTTCCAATTTCTTTCACTAAAGAAAAGCACTTGGATTAGATTATTCTATGAAGGGCCTTCCCAGCCTTGTTTTTCTATATGTCTATAACTCTTACCTTAAAATCTATTAGAGGATCATTTATTAAACTATTTTTAAAACAATTTAGTTCATATCTGATGAATTTATTTCAAATATAATATTTGCACATGACCACAATAGGTTAGAAAATAAAACTGGTTGTAGTGGTAGGGTGATTATAGTTTCGCCTTGGGATCAGGGAAACCATGGACCACTGTGGAAAAGTCTGAGGCTGAAACTTGGTACACACTAAGTGAGGCAGAGTGATATTTGTAATTTTGTAAGTCATCCACAGCAGTTACCAACAGATAAGAAAGGCCAGTTGTAAGATGGGGTTCACAATGAAGTCTGGGTCCTGAGGCAAATGAGAATTTATCTTAACTTCTAAGATTATGTTTGGATAAACTCAAGGTTTCTGCAGGTTAACAAATTATTCGTTCTGAAATCAAATATATTCTGTGAAATTACAGTAATATTGATCTGAAGCTAACTGATCAAATCTGGTTTCCTAATGTAATATTACTTATTAACATTAAATTATGTTGTTAAATGTCACAAAGGTGATATGGCCAAAAATTCTATTGGTTGTTAAATATGATGTCCTTAAATAAGAGCGCCTTAGATCATTTTTATGAAATAGAAACTGCTGTCATCACTAATATCCAAGCACCTGAATGGGAGCCTACCAGGATACTGAACAAAACTTTTGTCGTGATTCAGACTGCCTAAGCAGCCTCATTTCACAGGCTAATTAAAGTCAGACAGCCTAAGAAATGTAGAGTAATTGTTGGTTAGCTAGAGATAGATAGTTGTTTTAATTTACCCAGTATTCTCCTGTTAAGCTGAACGTTTAGAACTGGAAATACGCCATGTGATTATTAATTAAACTAAGATGGTTTTTTAATATTAAAATAAACATCTGTTTTGCCATTGCCTCAATATGGCTTCATATCCTTAATACAGCATATTTTCTTTAAGGAGTAATATCTATTTGTCTTATTTATGAAGCAAACATTTTTATTAGAAAAAATTGTAAAACCACCTGGCCATAGACAGTTATGTTTTCATTTGTAACCCCTATTGATAGAATGAGTTGATTAGATACTTTTTAGAAAACTGTTCTTTACAACAGAATGTCATATTATGTTTTCAAATCTGCCTGAATGTTTTCTCTTTTAATCCTGTCAGCAACTCTATTAGATAGGGATTATAACATCAGATAATCTAAGTAACTCACCTGCTTGCCACAGCTAGTAATAATGAAGGTTTGGGTTCTGGCATGAATACCAAGCGCTTACCCTTCCTCCTGTAATAGGAGAAACTCAATGTACTAAACTCAGTGTACTAAGGAGAAGTGACTCATGTAATCGACACTGCGCATCTTAATGCAGCAGCGAGGAGCATGATGTCTCCAAAAGGACCCTTTCATCACTACTCTTGTATCCTGTTTTTGTACTTTTTCATTTCTAGAAAACATGTGACATAATATTTAATGAGTTACTGGAAGTCCTTTGGAATCACTTCAAAATATCAATATAAAGAAAAGCTTTTCCCCTCCTCTTATAGTTGCATTTCCTAGTAAAGAAGCTTTACTTGTGAATAAATGTAGCATATGTACTACCAGTTTTAATTCTCAAGACAATTCTCTGAAATTGGGTTTTATAAAATAGATTATTAAACTACTTGTATTTTGTTTGATTTTATTTTTGAGATGGAGTCTTGCTCTGTTGCCCAGGCTGGAGTGCAGTGGCACGATCTCGGGTCACTGCAACCTCCACCTCCTGGGTTCAAGCGATTCTCCTGCCTCAGCCTCCCTAGTAGCTGGGATTACAGGTGTACACCACCACGCCCGGCTAATTTTTGTATTTTTAGTAGAGACAGTTTCACCACATTGGCCAGACTCTTCTCCAACTCCTGACCTTAGGTGATGCGTAAACTACTTTTAAAAGGAAGAAGTTTTTCTGTAGGAGACACTCTTCACTTTTTATTTGACATAGTGAATTAGCTTAATGACAGTTGGTACTTTCTTTTTTATTTTTTGAGATGGAATGTCGCTCTATCACCCAGGCTGGAGTGCAGTGGTGCAATCTTGGCCCACTGCAACCTCTGCCTCCTGGGTTCAAGCGATTCTTGTGCCTCAGCCTCCCGATGTAGCTGGAATTACAGATGCGTGCCATCATGCCCAACTAATTTTTATAATTTTAATAGAGATGGGGCCAGTCTCAAGCCTGGCCTCAAGCAGTCCACCCACCTTGGCCTCCCAAGGTGCTGGGATTACAGGCATGAGCTACCGGCCGATAGTTGGTACTTTTTGAGCTGATGTAATTATGGGGACGTTTCAGATAGTTCCCTGACTTATGTGCCTTGTATCATACCTGTTACTTACCTAACTTTTATGTTTATGTATAAAAGATAAAATAATACCCATGTCATAATTTTTGTAATTATGTACCTTTTCATTTTTCTCTTCCTTCGTCATTGAAAGATTTATACTTCAATGTTAAGTATTCTTAAATGGGTTTTTTTTCCCCCAGAGGCACTTAACCTTCACTATAAAAGGTTGAATGTCACAATTTTTCCAGATATGATGGTAAACAGTGTCTGCTTCCATAATCGTTCTCTTGTATTTGCCCCTTTCGTTTCAGAGAATGCTGTGTATACGTTTGGCCTGGGACAGTTTGGTCAGCTGGGTCTTGGCACTTTTCTTTTTGAAACTTCAGAACCCAAAGTCATTGAGAATATTAGGGATCATACAATAAGTTATATTTCTTGTGGAGAAAATCACACAGCTTTGATAACAGGTATGGATTAGAATTTCTGTTATATATTTATAGAATGGGGTATATTTTATTACAAAATAAATTATATCTGAAATGAATGTAACTTAAATAAAGGAATTAATGACTGAGAAAAATGGAATTCTATGTTTACTATTCCAAAGTATAAAGTCATGAGCTCCTTTTTATTATTTTAATTCAATTTAGAATAAATGTAAATGATCCCAAGATTTAGAACCTCACAATAGCCTGCTGATGTCAGAAGTTAGACCATAGTATTACTCTTTGGCAGAAAACAGGAATCTTTTTGAAATTATATCAATTTGAAGGCTCTTAACTCTGCTCAGGCCAAAAGGAAAAATCCCACAAGCAGAAACTTATTTTAAAACATTCTTCCTATTCAGTCTGACAGAGCTGCATTCAGGCCGAGTCGATTCTTATGTTTTTGCCATCTGGAGGCGTTTTCAGGAATGACTCCTTTCCTTCTCTTTCCACAGTATTAGAGAGAAAGGCCCCTCAGAGACCACTAAGTGGATACCTTCTTCCACTCTGTGGTATCTCCTTCATGCAGGGAAATGTTCCTTTGAGCCCACTTCTCAGCCTCAAAACTATGTGCTGCTAATAATGTAGGACTCAGTGAAGATTCTCCCCTAAATGATTCAGTCACATATATGTAGGTAATGGATATAGTCCACAGTTTTCAATGCTTTGTAACAAAAGGGTGTATAATTTCACTATTTCTGTCTAAAAATGGAGTGAATCATCGGAAAGTCAGAAATCATCTAGTATATTGACATAATCCATTTACTAGCATTTCTACTTTTTTCCCTTCTTTCTGAAAAGCTCCTGCTACGAAAAAGCTCCTGAAAAAGCTACCACTCGTCTAGTGGTGTCTGGCTAGGGAAACTAGGAATCAGCAAATGCAAGATACACTGTTCCTTCTTCCCCAGAGAACCTTTCAGAGAGGATGACCTGCCCATTATCAAGTATCAATGCTCTTGAGAACATATCATGAAATAGCATTATATAGAATATGAGAAGTATTATTCATTCATCATCCACTAAGAGTTGTTGATATGTATCCCTTAACTATAGGGTCCTAGTGTCACTTTCTCTGTCCTTACTGTCATTTTTCATCCACTCTAAACTGCCACTGATAGTAAATACATAGTTTTTAATCTGTCATCTAACATACAATTTGATTATTTAGTTAAATTTTCATAGTACCTTTACTCCTGATAAAAAGAGTTATAGCACAAATCATTGAACATTAACTTTGTTTGCCTTTTTGTTCATCAATTGTCCCTAGAGAGCAAGTGGTGTGGAATTTTTTGTTTTTTTTTTTTCCCTCCAGGACTAATGAGAAGTACGTAGTGGGTTATCTGCAAGGCCTTGCCAGTTCCCCATTATAGCCAGTGGCTCATATTGTTAAAAGCTCTCTGAAGTTGGAAGTGCCACCAGGCAGCTTGGATCAGGGTTTATTTTTTTTCAGGCAAAAGACAATCAAATTTAAAAGGCAAACTTTAAAAAAACATTTGGGTAAAGAAATCAGGTAGAAAAGGAGGAGGAAGAAGGGATAAAGATGATAAGGAGTATATATAAAAGAAGGACATAAATACTTAATAGTAAGAATTATAAGAGTCTACAGCCTGGTCAACATGGTGAAACCCCATCTCTACTAAAAAAAAAATACAAAAATTAGCCGGCGTGGCAGCGCGTGCCTGTAATCCCAGCTATTGAGGCTGAGACAGGAGAATCACTTGAACCCAGGAGGCAGAGGTTGCAGTGAGCCGAGATCGCGCCACTGTACTCCAGCCTGGGTAACAGAGCGAGACTCCATCTCAAAAAATAAAGAGTCCAAACACTGAATATCACTTATTTACATATTTACAGGGAATCTACTTATTTTTGTAAATTTATTTTTATACTTGTCACCTTACTGAATTATATTATTATTTCTAATGATCTTTCAGTCAGTTCTCTTGGATTTACTTAGTATGCAGTCACTTTGCCATCTTAAATCAGAGGTCCCCAAAGGTGACCCAATTGTTTCCCAGCTTAAAACCATTCATTTTCCTTCTTAATGTCCTTAAGATAAAAGTTCAAAAATTCTTCATCTGAACTAATAGGACACTCCCTTTTCACCTCTTCAGACTCATCTCCTACCACTCTTCCCTTGGTGCTCCAGGCGTATTAGTTGCCTTTCAGTTTCTTGCCCAAGCCACGTTTGCTCTTGATTCAGAGGCTTTCTATGTACTGCTGACTGCATGAAGATTTTTTGCTCCCTTCTTCGTGCCGCTAAACCCTACTCATCCTTTAGGTTTCCCTTTGAAAGCCTTCCCTAATCCCCAGACTAGAGGAAAATTCCCCTCCTTTGCACCATATTAACCCCGCCCTTACTTCTGCTTCCCTTGCACTTACCCCAGTTGAGATGGAGGGTATGAAGGAGCGGCTTGAAGAAAGGAGTGTGAAGGTTCGTAATAGCTGCTATGTCAATAAGCAAAAGGGCTAACTGGCGAGAAGTAACAAGATTACTCATCATCGTTGTGGGCCCAGTTTCAGAGGGGACCCAAGTTTTAGTATAGGAATTAGTTAGCATTGTTGGCTTATGGCATTTACTTCAACAGTATCCCACAGCCCAGGAGCCAGATTAGTTACGCTAAGCCAGTTGTAGAGATTTTATGCACATCCCACTCCCCAAGTCACACGACAACGTTTGGAGACATTTTTTAATGGTCATGGCTGCAGAGTGGAGTTGTCCTACTGGCATTTAGTGGGTAGAGGCCAAGGATGCTGCTGAACATCCTACAGTGCACAGGACAGACCCGCACGACCATGAATTATCTGGCCCCAAATGTCAATAATGCCAAAGTTGAGAAACTCTGATCTATCAATGACCTCAGGAAAAAGGAAAATAGACTGTGTTGGGATGTAGGGACCAGAATACAAGCATCTCCTTCTCCTTCGCTTGGAATATATGATGTGTAGCTCAAGCTCTCATGCTGTATTGCTGCTGCTCCACACACTGCCTTGCATGACGGATCATCAGCTTCACAAACCACCAAGGTTAATTGATTTATTCTCAGAATATTTATTGCCTGATGTTACATGAAGGACCACAGAGACCATAGAGAGTGTGGAAAGATCAATAGAGGAAATTCAATGCAGAATTTGAGGGGGATAATCAGAATTGCAGTATGAGTTAACATATTTATCTGTTTACAAATAGATCCATACAAGTAACATTTTTATAATTCTCTTCATTATTTTTGCATTTTAGATATCGGCCTTATGTATACTTTTGGAGATGGTCGCCACGGAAAATTAGGACTTGGACTGGAGAATTTTACCAATCACTTCATTCCTACTTTGTGCTCTAATTTTTTGAGGTTTATAGTTAAATTGGTAAGGCTATCACATTTCCCTGTTTATATTTTCTTATTACGGTATTTGAATCTTTCAGTATTTCATAGAAAATAAGTACTTTTACGTTTGTATGGAAGAGTATCATAGATATATCTAATAAATATACTTGTTTCCTAAAAGCCAAATGTCAGACATTATGCCAGTCAGAAAATGTGTTGCTCCTAATTGTCCTCCTTTAGCATCTTCCTTTTTGCTGAAATCTTGACTGTTCTGCTTCGTTCTCATATATCTGTTGAAAGCTGGGACTGTGCCATGCCTGCAAACTTGGTATCTTGTGTAGCACCCAGCAGAGTACCTTACTCACAGTAGTCTTTAGTAAATATTTGCTGAATTAAATGTTAGACTCTCAAATCCTGCTCAACAGAAAGTCTGATAATAAAGAGTTTTGGTGGGACACGGTGGCTCACTCCTGTAATCCCAGCACTTTGGGAGGCCAAGGCGGGCGGATCACCTGAGATCAGGAATTTAAGAACAGCTTGGCCAACATGGTGAAACCCCGTCTCTACTAAAAATGCAAAACTTAGCCAGGTGTGGAGGTACACGCCTGTAATCCCAGCTACTCGGGAGGCTGAGGCATGAGAATTGCTGGAACCCAGAAGGTGGAGGTTGCAGTGAGCTGAGGTCGTGTCACTGCACTCCAGACCAGGTGACAGTGAGACCCTGTCTCAAAAAAAAATAAAAAATAAAAAATAAAATAAAGAGTTTTGAAGATATGGTTTTTTGGCTACATTTTCATAGGTTAAGGATGTATTATTTCAGTGTCATATCACCATTATGCATCATACCTGTATTGTTTCTTAATATTTTTGCCAGTTACGTTTTGACTTTTGAAAATTCTGTTGACTTGATGATAATATTGAAATTTGTCCTCCAAAGACTCAGTGTCTCATAATATGGAACACTTTCATTTATTGATTTGATAGTCATTTAATGAAAGGCTACTATGGGTAAGATAGTGTGCTAAGTATAAGAAATACAAAGTACTGGTCAGGTGCGCTGGCTCACGCCTGTAATCCTAGCACTTTGGGAGGCCGAGGCGGGCAGATCACCTGAGGTCAGGAGTTCAAGACCAGCCTGGCTAACATGGCGAAACCCCATCTCTACTAAAAATACAAAAATTAGCTGGGCATAGTGGTAGGCACCTCTAATCCCAGCTTCTTGGGATCCTGAGGCAAAATAATCGCTTGAATCCGGGAGGCAGAGGTTGCAGTGAGCTGAGATTGTGCCATTGCACTCCAGCCTGGGCGACAACAGTAAAACTCCATCTCAAAAAAAAAAAAAAAAAAAAACCAGAAAGAAAAAAATACAAAGTACCGTGTACAGTGATGAATGGAATAACCACGTCCTCGTTCATTGAGGACTTATTCATTATAGTTTTACAGTTTTTAAAAGGGATATACAAAAATGTATATAAATTTTAAAATTTAAAGTATTATGAAGGAAAAATAGAACATGATAAAGTATCTAGAACCTATGTACAGAAAATACTGCGCTGTGGGTTTTTTAAAGCATTTTCTTGAAAATGACTTATTTCTCAAAATTCTTTGAATGCTGATTTCATTGTTTATTGTTCCGTCATCAGGCATACTTGCATTTATTTTCCTCTAAGGATTTACTTTTAAGCATTAAACTTAGAAAATGTTCATATAAAGAGGGCTTAGAGACATAATTAGCCCAAGAGACTGATTTATACTTAAAAAAAAAATTAACTTCCAGTAGAACTTCTCTGGTATTTCACGTTTTTAATGTTTCTCTCAGATTAAAATAACATTTTCTAACTGTAAGGAGAAATGTAATCTGCCAAGTATTTTTTCTCTATATTATTTTAAATTGAAATTTAAATGGTGGATTAAACTTGTTCTAATTTTCAATCACAGTGTTTAAAGAATATGTGTAGTAATTATGTACTTTTTTTTTTTTTTTTTTTTTTGAGATGGAGTCTTGCTCCGTCGCCCAGGCTGGAGTGCAGTGGTGCGATCTTGGCTCACTGCAACCTCTGCCTGCTGGGTTCACGCCATTCTCCTGCCTCAGCTTCCCAGGTAGCTGGGACTACAGGCGCCTGCCACCACACCCAACTAATTTTTTGTATTTTTAGTAGAGGCGAGTTAATTTCACCATGTTAGCCAGGATAGTCTCAGTCTCCTGGCCTCATGATCCTGTCCACCTTCAGCCTCCCAAAGTGCTGGGATCCACAGGCTTGAGCCCGCCCGGCAATTGTGTACATATTTTTGTACATGGTGTGTACACATTCTCATTGTGCACACACATACGTATAGACAGATTCACCAAGTCAGTCTGTCTAGGAAGCCTACCACTAAATAAATGTCTTACAGCTGATAACTGTTAAAAACTGATTTGTGTTTGAAGCCAATGTTAGTGGATTTTTCTGTGGATTTATGCTGCAGGTTGCTTCGTAGTGGATGTCACATAGTAGCTTTGCTGCTCCTCATTCGTGGTGTGAAAGTAGGTCGATGAAATAAGTGATACTTGCTTATCTGTGGAGACTTTTCTGCCGTATGGCAGTTTAACCTCAGGAAATGTACTGCAGAGAAGTATGGCAGTTTAACCTCAGGAAATGTACTGCAGAGAACTCTATCAGCACGTATGCGGCGAAGAGAGAGGGTACAGTGGTGGCCTATTGTGTATAATAGTATTATGTAGCACTGCAAAGAAAACTAGAAGAAAAAAATCTGTTTTCTTTTTAAATCAAAGGGTCTTCTCAGATAAATTTGCTAAATAAAATTATTAGAGTTAAGTGCTTACAAACTTTTAGAGTTAATTCAGAAAAATTCAGAAAAGCTTAATGCATTTTTTAAAGACACAAACTGGAAAATTTAAATTATAGAAAACCTTTGCATATAGACAATGGTGCTATAAAAGCATCCTTTTATAGTCCTATTTTATCACCTCACATTGAATGCTGAATTGTTTTTTCAACTGCATGTGGCTTGAATTTCACCTTGTTATATGCTTTTTTTTTATTATGGTAGTAAAAATACAACAAATATACCCACTTAACAGATTTTTAAGTATGCAATACAGTATCGTTGACTATAGGTACAATGTTACGTTGTTCAGAACTCTGTAGGACTTATCTTATATAATGCTACATTCTTTTGTCTTTCAGTTAAGCCTCATGAGCAGTGGAAGATTGTACACTATAAACAATGAAATGGGAAAACAAAGGAATAAGGACTTCAATTAGAGAGAGGAAATATTCCCTCTTAATTAAATTTAGAGATTTTCTTCTGTGTTTTAAAATTATTGTTCCAATGACATATATATATGTGTGTGTGTGTGTGTGTGTGTGTGTGTGTGTGTTTTGTTTTTGGGGGTTTTTTTGTTTTGTTTTTTGTTTTTTTTGAGACAGAGTCTCACTCTGTTGCCCAGGCTGGGGTGCACTAGCGCAATCTTGGCTCACTGAAACCTCCACCTCCTGGGTTCAAGCAATTCTCCTGCCTCAGCCACCTGAGTAGCTGGGACTACAGGCGCGCACCACCATGCCCGGCTAATTTTTTTGTATTTTTAGGAGAGACGGGGTTTCACCAAGGCTGGTTTCGAACTCCTGACCTAAAGTGATCCACCAGCTTCGGCCTCCTAGCATGCTGGGATTACAGGTGTGAGCCATCAAGCCCCGCCCCAATGGCACATATGTTTTTTAAAGTAAATGGTAAATAATTTTTGAAGGTGACATTCCTTTTTTTGAAAATTACTCTAAGTTTCAAAACATGTTTTTTTGAAGGTTCCTAGCAGTTTTATTTGTAATAGCCAACATATTTCTTTTGAAGTAAAAAGGTTAAATCTGGTGTTTTGTTTGAAAAAGCATATATGGAAAAGTTGAGAAATACCCCATCAGTGTTTTGTAGTTGTTGTTAATTTACATCTTCTAAGTAATTTTTTGTTTCTTAGGGAGTGTGGAGAAAATGCACACACACTTTTCCCCCGTTATGTGAAAAATAAAGCTTCCAAATTGAAATTTAGAGCAACTAAGATACAGAGACAACAGAACAAAATGTTTTTGAGCCTTTGGGAATTGAGAAGTAAATGCTGTGGAGTGTTGGCATACTTTGAACTCTTTCTCTTAAATATTTTTGCAACTTTTAGGAAGGTTTATATCAATATTAAATCTATAACATCATTTAATAGTTTGTTTAACCTGCTTATTTTAAAGGAGAGGTCTCCAGATTCTATTTCAATGATGAGGACACTACCTCCAATAGAAGGGACTCTTGGCCTTTCTGCTTGTTTTCCCCCCAATTCGGTCTTTGCACGTTGTTCTGAGAGTAACCTCCTACCGAGCGTCTTATCTGAACAGGACCTCATGCGCCCAGAGGAACCAGGTAACATTTGCTACTCTGTCTGCTCTCAGGATAAATGTGCCTTTTATTCCTGTTTTTATGTTTATCTTAAGATGTTTTCTCCAGTTATTTAAATTGTTCTCTCCCTGGTTAGAGCCTAACATCCCTCATTTGAACTCAAATCCAGGAATATCCTTACAAATAGAAAGCACCATCAGTGCCCCAAGACTGCCATGTAACCATAGCAGCATATCTTTATAGAGCAGTATGGGTAACAGTCACTTAGCACCTTTCTAACTGTATCCTTTGCTTCTAAACCACTCGATGAACTTAGGAGGGAGTTACAGTCCTCATTTCAGAGATAAGAAAAGCAAGGCTTGAAGAGATCAAGTGACTTGCTCAAGGTCACTCAGCTTATACATGAAGTGGTCAGAATTTGAATGCAGGTCTTCTGGATCTATGTGAAATTCTATATTTAAGCAGTATAACATAATGGTTAAGAGCATGGAATATGGAGTTAAATTGATCTGGGGTCAAATGCCAGTTTTAACATTTACTAGCTGTGTGACTGACTTTGGGTAAGTTACTTAACCTCTCTAAGCCTCAGTTTCCTTGGCTTTGAAATTGATTTAATAATACTGACTGAAAGTGATTGAGAGGCTTCAGTGAGATCAGGCATGTAAAGTAATTAGCATTGAGCCCAGCACCTCTAGAAACACCTCAGTAAATGTCGTTATGATTAATATTAAATACCTTTACCTCACCGCCGCAGCCCAGATACAGATTTCACGTTTTAAGTTGTAATCCCAGCTCTTTCACTATTCTATACTATTCTAAGTAATTTTTCTTTACAGACCTGTTAGATACAGATTTCACGTTTTAAGTTGTAATCCCAGCTCTTTCACTATTCTATACCTATTCTAAGTAATTTTCTTTACAGATATTTGTGTATCTTAGGAGTGTCTGTATGTTACTGCAGGATGTCTAAAGAGGGAATATTCTCTCTTAATTAAATTTAGGGATTCTCATGTGTTTTAAAATTATTGTTCCAATGACACATATATTTTTTGAAGTAAATGGCAAATAATTTTTGAAGGAGACATTCCTTTTCTGAAAATTACTGGAAGTTTCAAAATATATATATATTTTTTGAAGATTCATAGCAGTTTTATTTGTAATAGCCAACATAATTCTCTATTTGATAGGGGTAGGACAAGAAACCAGGACCAGGAGATCAGAAAGTAAGCAGTAAATTTGAAATTAAGAAGATAAACCTGTCATCAGGGACTAAGAATCAGGGTCTAGAAACAGATAATTTTTGTATCTTTGAGATCCGGAAGCTAGGCAAAGGGTTGAGGTAATATAGGATTGGGAACTCAGGTAAGAATTGTGGGCTATGGGAATGGGATATTATATCTAACTAGGACCTTAGTAATGAGCTGATTTATTGCACCTGACCCACAACTTTTGTATGTTTTCTTTTGAAATAAGAATCAGTGTCTAATGGTACTCTTCAGCCCTGGACATGGAAAAAGTAGTAGATTCTGACAAGCAGTATGTAGTGTGTACAAGGAGAAAAGACATTTATGGTTTAGAGAAAATTGTTTCTCAGTCCCAGAGATTTGAATGTGAAAATATGCATGATTTTGTAGCTAGATCAAAAGGAAATGCCATCTCTTCTTGTCTTCTTGTGACTGCTAACACTCTCTTCTTAATAAAACTTATTTTGAAAGTTGTGTCTAACATATACTGTGACATTTTCTAAATCATTCACAGACTTCAGTCTTTATAATGGAGGAAAAGTATATCAGGATACGTCTTACTAAGGAGGTGTCATTTAAGCTAAAGGATAAGAAAGGGATGGCTACACAAGGAGAATAGATGTATTTCAGGCAAAGAAAATAATATAGGCAAAGAAAATAATATAGGCAAAAGTTTGGAGGCAGTTAAGAAGAAAAAGACAACCAGTGGGGCTAGAAAGTGAGAGAAATGGTAAGACAAAGCGGTATTGGAGAAAGAGACAGTGAAAAATTATTTATGGTTTTATAGGCCATGAAGACCTACTTGATATGAATGTTTTTCTTAAGTGCAATAGAAAGTCATTAAAAGATTTTAAGCAGTAGACTAATGTATTCCAGTCCTATTTCCACTTTAAGATGATTATGATCACTTCTACCTCCATATAGATTATACAGAGGCCAGACTAGAAATAGGAGGAGTACTTGTGAGCCCTTTGCAAGAGGTGATAATGTATGGACCAAGGTGTTTGCAGCGTAGATGGAGAAAAGAAAAAGAAAAGAGAAGAGGGACGATGTGAAATACATTATAGACATAAAAACCAACCGGACTTGCTAAACTTATGAATGCACCACACATAGGTGTGAATTAAAGTGAGGAATCAAGGATGATTCCTAAGCAAGAGGAAGCTTGACACATTTGAGGAATAAAATTAAGAACCAAGCCTTGGATATCTGTGAGGCATCCAAGTAGAAATATCAAGCTGATTGTTGAAACACAAGCCTAAAGTTTAGAAGCGAGCCCTGGACTAGAAATATACATTTGGAAGCCATCAACATAGAGATGGTATTTAAAAGAGATGGGCATGGTAACTTATGCCTATAATGCCAGTATTTTGAGAGGCTGAGGTGGGAGGATTGCTTGAAGTTAGGAGTTTGAGACCAGCCTGGGCAACATAGCAAGACCCCCTCTCTCTATTTAAAATAATAATAAAATCCATGGATGTTGGTGAAATCACCTGCTAGAGAGTCGAGTCAGAAGAGAAGAGGGCCCAGAATGCAGCCCTAAGAACATCTAATATTTGAGAGGTAGAGAAGGAAGAGCTGGCAAAGAAGCCTTCCTCAGCTTTGTCAGCCAGTAAGGCAGGAGGTGGGAAATTAGGACAGTGTAGTGTCGTGAATGCAAAGTACTGCTCAAAGATCAAGGGAAAATAGCTCAAAGAAGTATCCAGTGGATTTGGTATAATGGAGTTTACTGGTGACTTTGACAAGAACAGTTCTAGGAGAAGATCAGGGAAGAAGCCAGAGTGTTAAGAGTCACTTATGAATGGGGAATGAGGAATTGAAGAGGAGATAAGATGAGCACGTAATTCCTTTGTATATTTGCCGATGAAGTGGAGCAGAGAAATGGTCTGGCAGCTAGAGGGGGATGTGGGCTCAATAGAAAATATTGGAGCACATTTGTATGGTAATGAATGAGCCAGTAGTCCTGGAGAGGGAGATAGCACAGAGGAGAGAAAGTATAACCAAAGTTGTAAAGCTCTTGCAAAACAGGAGGGACCGGCATAGAGAGTGGTCTTTGGTAACAGGAAAAACACATCCTACATTTTAACAGGCAAATGAGAACTTGGGTACAAATATAAGTAGTTGGGTATGTTTGTTGGTGAGGAGATCAAGTGGATCAGATATGATGACTTCTGTTTTCTCAGTCAAATCTGAGGCAAGGCCATCAGTTTAAATAATCTGCTATGTATTTTCCAAACCTATATTCTCTGCTCTCTCCAATCTGTTCTGCATAACACTTTCCACAGTGATCTTCCTCAGGTGCAACTCAGTTTACATGTGCTCCAGTGTCTTCAGTGAATTCCTAATTAGGAAAATAAGTGTTAATTTTCCTATCTAATTCCCAATTCTAGCTTTATCTCTCAATAGTCTTTTCCTTACAATCTTCATTTGGTAATAGGTAGTTTTATGGTAGTAATGTATTATGATAGTCTACAAACAGTGGCTCTTGGGCCAAATCTAGCTGGCCACTTGTTTTTACAAATAAAGTTTTATTGGAACCAAGCCATACCCATTCCTTTATGTATTGTCTGTGGCTGCTTTCTGCTACAATGTCATAGGTTAGTTAGGACAGAGACCATATGGCCCAGGAAGCCTAAGATGTTTACTATATGGCCTTTTAGAGAAAAGTTTGCTGATTCTTAATTTTGATCAGACTGATCTCTTCAGTGGAAAGAACAAGGGCTGTGGAGTCAGACACACCTAAGATTGACACTGGACACCAACAGTCACTGAAACTTAATTTCTTCATTTACAAAATGAGAATATAGTACTTAACCTTCCTTGTTGTCATAGGGTCAGTGTAACATATATAAAAGCATGTGTTTCTGGCACTTGGTAAGCCTTCAAGACAAACTCCTTTCCTCTGCTCATTTGCTCAGACTGCTGTTCTGCTGCTTTATTAGGAATGGGCTTCATTGTCTTCCCCTTACACCTCCATCTCTGCCTCTCATAATTCTACTTATCCTTCTATGTACCTCCATAGTGAAACTTTTCCTGCTTCCCAACATACGGATGTAATTTCTCATAGACTATAACTTCATGGCAGTTAAAATTTTTTAACAACAAACAACAAAATTGTAATTCCTAATACTTAATAAACTTATTACTATATGTATATCAAAACATCTGTTTTATACCTTAAATATAGATGATAAAAAATAAAAAAGAATTAGCAATTACTTAGGTTGCTATTCTGCATATTACCGCACATGGAATAAATACCAAATGATTATTTGCTCATTCAATTCAGTGGATTTAAAGGGGAGGGATCAGTGTGGATTGTCATTTTTTAGTGAAGACTTCATTACGGAGCTACTTCCAAATGTATCAGTGATCAATGAAGGCATAGTGAGAAATTGAGAAAAATGTAAAGTCAAGTAGAGCCTATGACTTTTAATTATCTACTTTATGATGTAATAACCTTGCAGTTTTCTGTGAAAGGTTCTAGGTATTTATACTAGTTATCTGTTGCTACATTTTAAAAATGACCCTAAAACTTAGCAGGTTAAAACAAAAAGCATTTATTATTTCACACAGTTTCTGAGAGTCAGGAGTCCAGCAGGAGCTTAGCTGGGTGGTTCTGGCCCAGGTTCTTTCATAGGGTTGCAGTCACACTGTCAGATGGGGTTGCAGTTATCTGAAGGCTTGACTGAGGCTGGAAGATCCACTTCCAAGCTCATTCACATGGCCATTGGCAGGAGGCCTCACTTCCTTGAGATGCTCACAACATGGACTCCTACAGAGCAAGTGATTGGAGAGAAAGAGAGAGAGTACACGTATGTAGCCAGGGGTGGAGGGGGAGAGAGAGAGAGCAAGAGAGCGAGCACAAGGGTGCATACATGTGTATAACCAAAACAGAAGCTATAATGCTATCACAGGTACGTCTGCTTTATTTTACTGGCTGTGCACATACAGACCAACCTGGTATAATGTGCAAGGGAACTACACAAGAGGATGAACACCAAGAGGATGTAAGTCGTTGGGGCCCTTCTTAGGACTAGCTATTACAGTGCTCGATACCTGGGTAGTTATTTATCCCAAAGGAATAGTGTTTGCCTGTTCATATGAATGAAACAATTGTAATCTAATTGGTGTCAACATTTTTAAACTTTCACAAAGATTTTAAAACCTGTGTCACTGTGAATGAATTCTTTTCAGTTTCCCTGACATGAGGCTAAAGGACTTTTAGTAAAATTATACCTACACTTTATATTATAGAATAATTTCTGTTTTCTCTCCAGTGGCCTTTTACTTTTCTGTTGAAATCTGGATTTCCTTTTTCCCATTTAATCATTCAGATTATTTTCTAGATGAAATGACCAAAGAAGCAGAGATAGATAATTCTTCAACCATAGAAAGCCTTGGAGAAACTACTGATATCTTGAATATGGTAATGATTTCCTATCTGTTTATCTAAATATGAGTTTGAATTGTAGTTCATTGTGTATGTGAATGTGTGTATACTTCCTATACTCTTATATGCATGAAAACCACTTTCTTGTTTCTTATTTTGTTTGTTATTTTTAGCCAACTATACTGAGGTATAATTCACATATAATAAAATTTGTTTTGATCCTCACATTATTAGTATGGCAATTGAGAGTGGATTCTATTACTATCTGAACTGTTTTCCCTTCGTTATATATATGGGTGTGTATATATGTATACATATATACATATATATACATATATACACACCCATATATGTAAAATTTGTACTATATATAGTACAAATACATAGTATATATACTGTATTCTTTTTATAATATATATTTTTTATTTATTTTAGACACACATTATGAGCCTGAATTCCAATGAAAAGTCATTAAAATTATCACCAGTTGAGAAACAAAAGGTATAATATGGAGATTTATTTTTATTATTGTTGGTAAGAGCAGTTTAAGTTAATTTTTTGGATGGTTTTTGGAAAGAACACAAGAAACGTAAGCATTTACTTACTTTAGAATTTAAAAGACAGAGGGATACAATGTAGATAGCCTCCATTTTGCCGTGTTCTGATGTTATGTATTTTCTGTAAAGAAACAAGAGTGGAAGCATTTTATTGCTGAAATTTGCTCTTTGGGATCACTAACTTAAGTTATACTAGCCATACTTTTCCTTCTGTCAAGCCATAGGTTATGATTGCAGTTCTTATGTGTAGGAAAAGACTACCATTTATTGATAGGGTGGCTCTCTGACTTTGGTTGAGTATGACTTTGAATGAATTACTGTGCTGACTTTACTGAATGATATTAATATCTTTTTTAGCTTTACAATTTTGTGATTTTAGTGAAAATCTTGGATAACCTTTCCCAATATTTGGTTGGGCTTTAATTTATCAAGAAATTGATAGCATAAAAATAAGATTAAACATTTGGAAATTAGAGACTATTCATGGGTAGGAAAGAGAGACTTTTAATGAATAACAAATAGCAAAAGAAGGGAATAGGCTGTGGTTTTCACAACCGTAGAGAGATAAAGGCCTGCCCTGAAATCCTTTGCTTTTCCTGGCTTTAAGGACTAGTGTGATGAATGAATGAGGGATTTGAGGATTAGGAAAATAAATTGGAGAAATGTAAATTGAGGGAAGAAGACTATAAAAAAATATTTAATTTCTATTTGTAGTGTCTTTGACATGTTTTCAAGTTTAAAACTCTTAACATTGAAGTCACTGAAGTGCAGGAGAATCATGCTAAATTGTTAAAATTTAGAACTAGTCCTCATTCATTCTATCTGTAATACTGAAAGGCATGGTGAATAACAGCATTCCTTTGAATATGGGAGAGCTGTTCGAACACAGTTGTAGAAGCTCAATGAATATTGACTGATTTTTGACTGACTATACTTCCAAGCAGACACCTTTCTTGTTTCTTTCCTTCCTCTTCCCTTAGACTCCAGGCTCTCCGTCTTCTGGGCTGCTTTATTGTGCTAGGGAAAGAAAGGCATGTGCCTTTAGAAATCAGTTCTGGCAACCGGGCCTTCCTCTCTTAGGGCTCTTAAAAGAATCATGACTTTTTAAAGAGCAAGACCAAGAACAACCAGAAACGGAAAGCAATTGCTTTTAAGCTGACATATATTTTATACTTTCTATAGTCCTTTTAAGTGTAGGCCCTACCAGGCCTACTTTAGTAAATGATAAAAGATTTATTATACTATTTCTGTGTATTAACTTGTTAATTTTTAACTTGTCATGTTTTAATAATCTCTTTGGCACAATAGGAACCTCTTCCTAGGCCTAATCATCACAGTTTATACAATTTGAATTAGTGAGTTTTTACTATCCAGAGACCCAAATTCATTAGATATTTGCATCCATTAGCTTGTTTGTAGAATTTAGATCAGCAATTTGGTTTTGCCTTATTTGGTCCAGCAGGAAATTACTTTTATATTGTTAATACATTATTCAAATGTCAGTGTTTGATTTCATAGTTTTTATACAAATCTTACATTTTACACTTAATAGTCTTTCCTCTTAGTGTTCTTTCATTTATAGAAATTATTATAATTAAAGAATATAATCAGTACAAGGAAGAAGGTCAAAAATTTGAAAGCGCATATGAAGGTTTTGTTTAGAAAAGAAAAATATATTCGTTATTATTTAGTTTATAGATCAAAAACATTTCGTATGCAGTTTCTTCAGTTCTAGGAGTGGACTATTCATTTTTTTCAAATTTTACATTTTTATTTATTTTGTGAATTTTGTGGACTCAAAAGACAAATGAAAATTTGAAAATTAGACCTGGCGTGGTGGCTCATGCCTGTAATCCCAGCACTTTGGGTGGCCAAGATGGGCAGATCACTTGAGGTCAGGAGTTCGAGACCAGCCTGGCCATCATGGTAAAACCTCATCTCTCTACTAAAAATACAAAAATTAGCTGGGTGTGGTGGCGCGCACCCATAGTCCCAGCTACTCACGAGGCTGAGGTGAGAAAATCACTGGGACCCAGGAGGCAGAGGCTGCAGTAAGCTGAGATCATGCCACTGAGCTCCAACCTAGGTGACAAAATGAAACTCTGTCGCAAGAAAAAAAATTTGAAAATGAGAGATGATCGGGAAAGTGGGAAAAATATACTAAGCTGTACTATGTACAAGAAAAGCGTACTTTTTTTTCTTTGAGATGGAGTTTCGCTCTTGTTGCCCAGGCTGGAGTCCAGTGGCACAGTCTTGGCTCACTGCAACCTCCGCCTGCCGAGTTCAAGCAGTTCTCCTGCCTCAGCCTCCCGAGTAGCTGGGATTACAGGCATGTGCCACCACTCCCAGCTAATTTTTGTACTTTTAGTAGAGACAGGTTTTCACCATGTTGGCCAGGCTAGTCTTGAACTTCTGACTTCAGGTGATCCACCTGCTTCGGCCTCTTAAAGTGCTGAGATTACAGGTGTGAGCCACTGTGCCAGGCCAAGAAGTGTACATTTTTCAACAGCATCTTGCAAAATTAATCTCGAAGTTTTATGTAAGGATTGATTCGGATTGAGAAAAGAGGCAGAGAATAAATATTGATGGTATTGTGATTAATGGCAAAATTAAGGCAGGTAGTACGAGTTGAAAATTAAACACAGATACATGTTACTAAATCAAAATTAGAGGAATCACAGACTAGAGAGTGGCACAAATGATCCTTAAAGAAAACAAAACTTCAGCAAACTATCTGGTCAAATTTGCTATTTTTATTCTCCTAGACTTATAAAAATGTAAAATCTTGGCAGTATTTAAAGGAGATAAGGTGTCCTTGTAAACTAATAGTAGTATGACTGTGATAATTACTTCAAAAAAATTTCCAGAAACAACAAACAGTTGGGGAACTGATGCAGCATACAGCTCTTACTGAAAGCGATGACAGTGATGAATATGAAGAAATGTCAGAAATGAAAGAAGGGAAAGCACGTGAGCAACATGCGTCGCGAGGGATTTTCATGACGCAGCCAGCTACGCCTATCGAAGCATTTTCAGATGAGGAACTAGGTAATGACTCAGGCCAGGTGGGACCTCAGGCTGACACTGATGGAGAGGGTTTACAAAAAGAGGTATTTAGACATGAAAATAATAATGGTGTTGATCAACTTGATGCCAAGGAAATAGAAAAGGAAAGTGATGGAGGACACAGTCAGAAGGAATCAGAAGCAGAAGAAATAGTCAGTGAGAAGGAAACTAAACTGGCAGAAATAGCAGGTATGAAGGATTTAAGAAAAAGGGAAAAGAGCACAAAAAATATGAGTTCTTTCTTTGGCAACTTACCAGATAGAGGTGTGAATACTGAGAGTGAAGAAAATAAAGATTTTGTTAAGAAAAGGGAAAGTTGCAAGCAAGATGTGATCTTTGACAGTGAAAGAGAATCAGTAGAAAAGCCAGACGTTACATGGAAGGTGCAAGTGAGAGTCAGCAGGGTATAGCTGATGGATTCCAGCAGCGGAGAGCAATCGAATTTAGTAGTGGAGAGTAGTGGAGAGAAAGAGGATGATGAAGTGGAAACTGACCAAAACATATGGTATGGCAGGAAATTGATTGAACAAGGAAATGAAAAAGAGACTAAACCCATAATATCCAAATCCATGGCAAAGTATGATTTTAAATGTGATCGCTTGTCAGAGATCCCAGAGGAGAAGGAAGGAGCAGAGGATTCAAAAGGAAATGGAATAGAGGAGCAAGAGGTAGAAGCAAATGAGGAAAATGTGAAGGTGCATGGAGGAAGACAGGAGGAAACAGAGATCCTATCAGATGACCTTACAGACAAAGCAGAGGTGAGTGAAGGCAAGGCAAAGTCAGCAGGAGAAGCAGAGGATGGGCCTGAAGGTAGAGGGGATGGAACCTGTGAGGAGGGTAGTTCAGGAGCAGAACACTGGCAAGGTGAGGAGAGGGAGGAGAAGGGGGAGAAAGACAAGGGTGGAGGAGAAATGGTGAGGCCGGGAGAGGGAGAGAAGGACCTAGCAGAGGAGGAGGAATGGGAGAAGAGGGATGGGAAAGAGCAGGAGCAAAAGGAGAGGGAGCAAGGCCATCAGAAGGAAAGAAACCAAGAGATGGAGGAGGGAGAAGGGGAGGAGGAGCATGGAGAAGGAGAAGAAGAGGAGGAAGACAGAGAAGAGGAAGAAGAGAAAGAGGAGGAGAAGGAGGGAGAGGGGAAAGAGGAAGGAGAAGGGGAAGAAGTGGAGGGAGAAGGTGAAAAGGAGGAAGGACAGAGGGAAAATGAGGAAAGAGTGAGGAAGGAGGAGAAAGGAGAAGAGGAAGGAGACCAAGGAGAAGGGGAAGAGAAGGAAACAGAGGGGGAAGGGGAGCAAAAAGAGGAGGGAGGGGAAGTAGAGGAGGGGAAAGGAGAGGGGGAAAAGGAGGAAGGGAAGGGGGAAGAGGAAGAAGGAGAAGGGGAGAGGGAAGAGGAAGAAGGAGAAGAGGAGGGGGAAGAGGAGGAAGGAGAAGGGAAAGGGGAGGAGGAAGAAGGAGAAGAGGAGGGGAAAGAGGAGGAAGGAGAAGGGAAAGGGGAGGAGGAAGAAAGGGAAGAGGGAGGAAGGAGAAAGGGAAGGGGGAGGGGAGGAAGGGGAGGAAGGGAGAAGGGAAGGGGAAGAAGAGGAAGGAGAAGGGGAGGGAGAAGAGAGGAGAGGAGAGGGGAGGGAGAGAGAGGGAGGAAGGGGAGAGAGGGAGGGAAGGGGAAGGAGAAGGAGGGGAGGCAGGGGGAGGGGAGAGAGGAGGAAGGGGAGGGAGGAAGGAGAGAGGAGGAGGAAGAGGAGGAAGGAGAGGAGGGAGAGAGGAGGAAGGAGAGAGGAGGGAAGAGGGAGGAAGGAGAGGGAGGGAAGAGGAGGAAGGAGAAGGGAGGGGAAGGAAGAGGAGGAGAGAGGGGAGGGGAGGAAGGGAGAAGGGAAGGGGAGGATGGAGAAGGGGAAGAGGAAGGAGAGAGGGAGGGGAGGAGGATGGAGAAGGGGAAGAGGAAGGAGAAGGGGAGGGGGAAGAGGAGGAAGGAGAGGGGGAAGAGGAGGAAGGGGAAGAAGAAGGGGAGGAAGAAGGAGAGGGAGAGGAAGAAGGGGAGGGAGAAGAGGAGGAAGGGGAAGTGGAAGGGGAGGAGGAAGGGGAAGTAGAAGGGGAGGAGGAAGGGGAGGTAGAAGGGGAGGAGGAAGGGGAGGTGGAAGGAGAGGAAGAGGAAGGAGAGGAGGAAGGGGAAGAAAGGGAAAAGGAGGGGGAAGGAGAGGAAAACAGGAGGAACAGAGAAGAGGAGGAGGAAGAAGAGGGGAAGTACCAGGAGACAGACGAAGAAGAGAATGAAAGGCAGGAAAGGCAGAATGGAGAAGAGTACAAAAAAGTGAGCAAAATGAAAGGATCTGTGAAATATGGCAAACATAAAACATATCAAAAAAAGTCAATTACTAACACACAGGGAAATGGGAAAGAGCAGAGGTCCAAAATGCCAGTGCAGTCAAAACAACTTGTAGAAAACGGGCCACCAGGTTCCAAAAAGTTCTGGAATAATGTATTACCACATTATTTGGAATTGAAGTAACAAACCTTAAATGTGACCCGATTATGGCCAGCCAAACAATTTAAATGCCTTGCATATAACAGGCACTCATTACATGTTGTTAAATTGATTTTATGTCAGTTATTTTATGTGTAGTAAAAAAAAGCAACTGATGCAGCTGTGTTAAGGAGCCAAAGACAACAGGAGGCACTGGTAAATTTTGGCCTCTCTCAGACTAAAATTTTGGTGTATTTCACCCCCAAATTATAAAACCATAGCTAGAAAATATTAAAAGGTCATATCAGATTATTAACATTATCTATTCATTAAAGGCAGCTTTAGGAAATAAGAATATACTACAAGAGTGTTTTGATTGTGTGTATAAATCATTCCATTTTTAAATGGCACAAATGCTTAAGGGCTATAAAAACTTCTAATTTCTTATAAATATGTTAGCACTTTTTTTAAGTTAGTGATTACAGTTTACCTGCTGTATAGAATAATTTTCTAATAATGGATGGTATTCTGAAACTCAATTGAGGCATTCACATTTTAAAGAAAGTATTGTCTTTTACCTTTTATATGTTCTTTTTGCAAAAATCTACAAAGTGACAGCTGTGGTCAGAGCTTAGCTCCCAAAAACGTGATCTCTTTTAGTTAGTATCTGGCCAGATGGCAGTATACCTAATGAAATGGTGATTAATTTAAATGTATAATCTGGAAATATGTAAAACTTGAAGTATTTTTTGTCCAGGCAAAGCTACTCATTGGGCTTCGGTTTCCTCATCTCTAAAATGGAGTGGATGAGATGATGTGATAACTGCAGTCCCTTCTAACTCTTAAATTCTTTTCATTCTCACAGATTTACTCTATCATTGTTATTCGTGTAGGAAACGTTTTAGGGAAGAAAAATTACACTTTAAAATTAATTTAGTTTTCTATACAGTTGTTTTCTTTACTCTTGAAAAGTTATGACAGCTTTAATGTCTCTTGTCTTCTGTAATTTTTTATTTCTAAACTCCTGTCATTTCCAAGCTTTAACTGTACTTTATCAGAGCCTTCATTTCCGGTATGTGTTATATGCCCTCAATGTATTCATTGACTATTCTGTAATTTCAGTTTGTCTGTTGCTTGTCAGAATGTTTCAAGTAAAATAAAAAATTAAATGTATATAGTCAGAAATTCTTTGTGAAAAGATAAACCGTCTAGTATTAGATACTGAATTTTAGAGAGGCTAGATTTCCACTAGAGTAATTACAATTGTCCCTTAAAATTGTCCATGTACACAATGCAGCTAATTTATCTGATTATTTGTGGCTCCTTTTTCTTTTTTTTTTTTTTTTATTCTTCTTTTAGTTGGAGGGTACATGTGCACAACATGCAGGTTTGTTACATATGTATATATGTGCCATGTTGGTGTGCTGCACCCATTAACTCGTCATTTACATTAAGTATGTCTCCTAATGCTATCCCTCCCCCCTCCCCCCACCCCACGACAGGCCCCGGTGTGTGATGTTCCCCTTCCTGTGGCCAAGTGATCTCATTCTTCAATTCCCACCTATGAGTGAGAACATGCAGTGTTTGGTTTTCTGTTCTTGTGATAGTTAGCTGAGAATGATCGTTTCCAGCTGCATCCATGTCCCTACAAAGGACATGAACTCATCCTTTTTTATGGCTGCATAGTGTTCCATGGTGTATATGTGTGTGGCTCCTTTTTC